TTCTACCCCGGATCTTATCGAGTTTGGGTACAATGTGATAAGTCCACTTAAGTATGGCGTTCATCCATTCTCATCCACTCACCTCGACTTAAACAACCTTTAAACAAGTTATGTTTAAGCCGAAATTGAAACATCCATTTAGTGTAAAATTCTCGAACTTTGGTTGCAAAAATATGCTATGGTCTTTGGGATCAGTGTTCTGATAGAGCTCAGAAAAGTCAACGCTTGTGACCTGCGCGGTGGTTTCGTTTTATGTTTTATGTTTTATGTTTTATTTTTGGTAAAATGACCAGCAGTTGTAATGAGGAACAGGTGAATCTTTGTTAAAAGTATTTTTTTGAAATTCGACACCCGTTGCCTGGGTCCAAGTCGCATTACTATTGCCACCGCTTTATAGCAGAGTTTAAGGAATAAGGCACCAAGATACACGAGATCATATCTAGGTACAGTGGGGCTATGTTAACTCGAAGACTCGGTGACAATCGAACATAATATTCTACATGTCGATTTCGAGACAAGCGAAGTGCCAATATTGGACAATAGTTCTGTTGCGACTCTGATGGAACCACTAGTCACTTCGGTTAAACGATATTTCGATATAGTGGAGTTCAATTTAACGAGGTTTTATTGTTATGTTTGTGTATTGATAAACTAAAGCCTATTTGTGAAATAAAATGTATACTTACTCTTTGGCGAACGTCGCCCCCAGGAGGACAACTAGGACGAAGAACTTCAGCATCGTGGCTACCTGGAAAACAAGAAGAGAAGTGAACTTTGGTTTGAACGCAGATATGTACCTCACATTCATTTACGTTGTTTGAAAGATTACCGTGTGCCGACTGACATTTGATAACAATACACCGGATATCTGAACACCATCAGGAAATTACGACAATACTGCAAACGATTGTTTTTTTTATTAAATTGAAAGACATCGTGTAACTTGATTTTACATCTCGATATTATCAATGTCCTTACTGACAGAAGTCATTACCTAATCTCGTTAAGACGGTGATTAAATACAAATAGTTCCCTTCAACCTGGTGTGTTATGTCCGAGAAATGCAATAAATGAAATAGTGAATTTGCTGACAGCTCTATTTCACGAGTCAATTGCACTTTTATAATACTAAGGCATTGAGTTGACAACTATCCATGCACAGCTATATATATGAAAACGCCAAATCAATGAAATATTTAATGTCCGAAAACGGAAATAAAAGAGCTGTCAAAATCTCGATGGCTCAATTTTGAGAGTCGATTTCAATTCTGTAATGGCAAACGTTTTCATTAAATAAGCATTAATATAGCGCGAAATTAGAACGCCTCGCCGCTTAACTTTTCTCAGTAATCGATTTTCAGTTAAATATAGATTTACATAATACTGATATGAGATTAAAAACTCAGAAGATTCTGAAAGTTTTCTCAATCACCAAATCGTGATCATATACATGCCGGTCCAGGTAATGGAATTTTTTTGTGAAACAATCGTCTGCAAAAGTGCGTATGCAGTACTCGGTACTTTCAGGATATCAAATGAAAAGGCAAGGTCGTGGAGAAAGTGTACGGGGATCCCACACGACCGTTGTACCCAAAGTTTCTCACCTTAACAAAGTCAGCCCCTCAGCTCATCTGGGCCAAAAGCGGGTGGTCTTATATAGTGTCCCCACAGGGAGATAAAGCAGGTGACCGACCATATCTCAAGTGTTTTTAAATATGTTCCTTTTAGCTGACAGGGTACACACACCACGAGATTACACGTGTGACATTCAACTCTACCCGCCGAGTTGACTCCCTCTACCCGAGCTGATCACATTGAACTCTACCCGCCGAGTTGATTCCCTCCACCAGGGCTGATCACATTCAACTCTACCCGCCGAGTTGATTCCCTCCAACAGGGCTGATCACATTCAACTCTACCCGCCAAGTTGACTCCCTCTACCAGGGCTGATCACATTGAACTTTACCCGCCGAGTTGATTCCCCCCACCAGGGCTGATCACATTCAGCTCTATATATGGTTTAACGCAATTTATTCCAGCAATATCACGGCGGGGGACACCCATGAAGGGAATCGAACGTCTTCGGCGTGACGAGCGAACACTTTAGCCACCAGGCAACCAGCCGCCCTAGTTAGTATTAGTATTTGTGTGGGGTGGAGCGGCGTTTGAAGCGCGTACAAAGTAAGACCTTCATGCGTTATAGTCTGTGACATTCGTAAATGCAGCGTTTATCAATTTCCATTTATTGAGATACACTTGTATCCCCGGAGATGCATGGATTTAAATACATTATTGGTATGGCATCGATATTCAATTATTGCATTCACCCGCTTTATTTTTTGGACGTGCATTATATATGAAAACGGGTTTATACTGTACAAAACTGATATTTCAGGGTCGTTACAACCAAAATATCTGCAATCGAAGCAAATTTATTGTACTGAGATGCGATCTCCAACTTTGCTGAAGATGTTTGATGATGTTAGTTAATGAATCTTCATGATAACACGAAATATGACGATTCAACTCATGATAAGGTGTTCATACATTTGAAATTGGCCAACAAGGGTATGAATTTAATTAATTAAGGAAATATCTTCCAAAAAATATATATGTTTCAAAATCAAGATATCATACTCCTATACCAACACCATTGCATCAAAAAAAAATTCGAAACAAAAAGTCATGCAAAATGCATTCGATGGTACATCCAGCAAATGTGTTTGCAAATACACCCACATTCCTATGCACCTGCTGAACATATCATCACTGGTTATCGCTAGTTTTTGGAAGGATTCACAAGCTCCATGAGAATTTCTATGACTTCAAATTACCACTTTTGTCACAAAACTCATTTCTTACAGTTCTTGCTGAATGAAGTGGACATGGTAACCATTGTTGGTGCATTCAGACCCGTTGCACGTCATCGTACTCCAGCCGCGTGGCCCCGATTATGTTTCAAGGTTTGTCAGCACCACACCCGTGCTCGTGGGTTTCACCGAAGTGGTAAACATCTGAGACCTGCATCACTTCGGGCTTTCCTCCCACATTAAGCTGACACGCCGTGATATAACTGGAATACTGTTAAAAGCGGCGTTAAACCCAACTCACCCACCCATCCAGCCGCGTGGGACGTTGCTCGTAATATTGATCACTTGATGGTCTGGTCCTGATTATTTTCAGGTTCCGTCTCAGCTTGAATATTGCTGAGGACGGATGCAAGGAAACAACTAAGTCATCCATCAATACACAGTTCCAGTTGTAAAGAACTATTCAGAGAACTATTCAGAAAGTAGCATGTTTTTACAGATTTATAATGATACGGTTTTTCCCTTTTTGTGTGTTCAGTTGCATCCCTGAGGTATGTTCGGAACCTATGCTAGGGGGTTCGAATCGCACTGGTTATAGTCTTTGGTTTGTCAGCAGCTTGCCAGTGCCCGTGGATTTCACCAAGCTGGTCAACGTCTAAGACCTGCGTTACATCAGGCTTTCCTTACGCTGCGAGTTAACTAAAATACTGTTCAAGTAAACCAGTTGTAAACACGAACATTCTTTTGGAGGTTTTGATGAGTCATTTGATTAATTATCTTTAGCATTCATTCATCCATGTTGATTATTATGTGCATGTACAGTGTCATGTTGACACATCTATATCCACCTACCAATTGCAACAATTGTGTTGGGAGAAGACAAACAGGCTGTAATCCCTTGAATTCATTGACAATCATACCTTCAAACAACCTATTCATGAATATCTGTAGTGTGCCTGCCGTGATGGAGATATTCGTTATCTACGGAAGTGAGATATACAGAGAAACGACCACGGGATAGTCACCACCTCATTTAAATCAGATGTTAGTTCTTGCTACTGCTTCACAAAGGTCTAAGGACATCCCCTTACGGGGTCACGTCAGAACGATCTTTCACCCGACCAATCAGAGCGCCACCTACCAGATCAGGAAAGTGACAGTCGAAATATGTTTTCTAATCATGCAACCTCGAAAAGGTTAACACGGGTTATTCCGAACGACAGGTACGGGCTGTACGACGGCTGAAATTGTCGAACGTCTCTCGCTTCAATGGGATAAACATTTGAACGAAAGAGACTTTGCATAGCCCATGGGAAGTACAGTAAACTACGGTTATAACGAAGTCAAAGGGACCACTAATTTTAGTTCGATATAACCGCAGTTCGTTATAAGCATATATACAGCACAAATACAGCAATTGACCGGGACCATACATAAAGTTCGTTATATCCTTCAGCTCGTTATAAGCGTGTTCGTTATAAACGTAGTTTACTGTACTGCCATATAGTCTCGGCCATCTATTAGACATTCCAGAATTTTCTTTTGTTCAGTTTTCAAATTTTGAATCAAGAACTTCGTCAAAATATATTTCAAAGCGACGTAGTCTGGAATGGAAGTCGCCAGTTTGTCACTAGTGCCGTATAGCTCAAGAAAACTGCTTTCTGATTGGCTAATGTCGACTTCTTGTTAGTTATTTCATTGGTCGGTCAAAGTTCGCGAAAGGTCGTTCTGACGTGACCTGTAATGGGATGTGATCAGACCTTTGTTTTGCGATGGCGAGGACTAAGATCTGATTTTATAAAGATTGGAGAGTCATATGTATGTCATGTGTATACCGTTTTTAATTTGAACAAAATCAGTAAATGCGCTATCGTGTCACTGGGTTTTCTGGTCTATCACTGGTACTGGTCGTATCACTGGCCCCACAGAGTATTGTTCTGCGGGTGTCAGGCAACAAACAAGCACTTACTTTTTATGCACATTCTGTGAGTGTGGGTGCTACCGGTAGGGTGGGACACGCCTACCCATTTCGCGAACACTCTGGCATCATCACTGATTTTTTTTTGCACAATTCATTTAATTTTAACCGCTATTTTTCCTTATACGCCACATGCTATTTGTTTCGGCGAAAAATCGAGTTGTGATATTCTCTGCCGATGACGTTGTGATAAATTCAATACAAACAAAGAGTATGTTTATAATGGACATTTTATTACATAAACGCGCAACATGAAATGTGTAGAACACATTCTTCCTTCTTGATGTCTCCGAATGTGATGTGATCTTCTCTGTGTGGTGATTCTCTCAGTGAGTGTGTTCATCTCCCGGCCTTGGCCTAGAAATACAGACGTCAAAGTTGTCAAATAATTTCTGCAGTGAAATCTTGCACACATCACACAAATAATGCACACATAGTCTGCCGTTCAACCATACACACATCACGCAGCTGATACACACGTAGTCTGCCTTGCAACCATACACACATCACACAGTTGATGCACACATTGTCTGCCGTGCAACCATACACACATCACACAGCTGATGCACACATTGTCTGCCGTGCAACCATACACACACCACACAGTTAATGCACACATTGTCTGCCGTGCAACCATACACACATCACACAGCTGATGCACACATTGTCTGCAGGAAAATCATACTGACAGACATAATTAAGGGAACATGTCCTAATGGAAGCCTGTGTGTGCTCTACCACGGTATATATTACATCGTAACTCCCCTGAAACTGACTTGAGTTCATCGACAAGGTAGTGCGTCATCAAGACGAGACAACACCCAAACCCAGTTGTCTGTTTACCTGGTTTTGTTCACATATCTTCGATTATATTATACAGATACAGTAAACTACGGTTTTAACGAACTCAAAGGGACCACTAATTTTATTTCCTAATAACCGTAGTTCGTTAAAAGTATGTATACAGCAATTGGCCTGGACAAAGAAATAGGTTCGTTATATCGGTCATTTCGTTATAAACGCAGTTTACTGTACAGTACAATGTGAAGTGCATCTAAGTAATGGATAACGATATAACATATCATCATCGTTAGACCATAGGACTATAAATGTAGCAAGATCAAAATATCAATTCTTGTATTTAATCTCCCAGGTGATATTCAGTTATCCGGGGTCGCGGTGTAGTTTTTTACATCAAAGGTTTTCGATGTGTTATACATAACATCACATCAGAACTCACCACGCAGTTTTCACACTCCACACACACGCTACAGATGTTGGAATTCTTCAGAAGCTTGGACTGGTAGAACGCTGTCACTTGATTGGCTGAAAAAGGAAATGAACGCATTCTATTGGCAGATAGCAGTGTGCTTTGTAAGTGCAACATAATAATCCTAAAGGTTTTAATGTTCAGAGGCAATATCCTGAATGAGTGAGCAGACACACGCATTATTCTGTTTTGGTTTTGTTTGTTTGTTGTTAAACGCCGCACTATTCCAGCTATATAACGGCGGTCTGCAAATAATCGAGTCTGGATCAGACAGTTCAGTGACTGACCTCATGAGCATCGATCCACGCAATTGGGATCGATGACATGCATGAATCACGTCAGCGAACCGGACCAACCGATCCCGTTAGACATCTGTCTACTACTCACTGTGGGTGGTTGTAACGCCTCTTTGAACAGTATTTGATTAAAATCACAGCATGTTAACTAAATGTGCGCGAAAAGTCAAAATTGGCGTTTACAGCTATTATGAAACCCATGATCACAAATGTGCTGCTGACGGACCTTGAATCATATAGAGGGCGAGTTACGTGATTCGACCACATGTTCAGCGGTCCCGGTACGACTAAGGGACGTAACTCCAACATCTCATTGCGGCGCCTTGGACACACATCGATAATGATAGAATTTGACACTTACTTGGCTCATAGTAGTCGTAGACTCTGACAGGAACGGGCTGTGACTTGGCTACAAGACCTGTTCTCTGGAGGGTGACGGACAGACACACTGGGGTGGTCCCGATCTGTGACATTAGCAGAGTCGAGTTAGTAACACAAACAGTAGAATCTTGTCATAAAGTTTTGTTCCAATAAGGCCAATGTGCACAATACCATTGTAGCGCTGAATATTTTAAAATTATTTTAAGCTGGACTGTAATTATTGAGGGTGAGGTGGGTCGAACTGAGGCTTAACATCGCGTTCAAGATTGTTGCACGTGTGCGTATGTGCGTGTGTGTGTGTGTGTGTCTGATTGTACTAGTCAGGAAAAATACCGATTTTATAGTGCCAGCCCACTGATATACCACGCCGCAGTTGACAAGAATACTCCACTCAGACACAGTATACTAATGCCGAGGGCCAGGTGGGGTAACAACAAGTACCATCTTTTAAGGCCTTTTTGTACGACTGGGTCGGGGATCGAAACCACGACCTTCCGCTCTCCGGGCAGGCGCTCTGTCTACTGGACCACGGAGGCAGTTATAACTAATAAGGAAGTTCACTGACATGCCGACCGATATTTATTTGGTTGGTTGGCTGGTTTGTTGTTAAACGCCGCACTCAGAAATAAATATTCCAGCCATATGACGGCGGTCTGTAAATAATCGAGTCTGGACCAGACAATCCAGTGATTGATATCATGAGCATCGCTCCACGCAATCTTTATTTGGAGAGACTAAAGCATAGGTTTTACGAAATACGTTCATTTTGGGCAAGATTTGAATTATACAAATAATGTAATCTTTGATGTGAAACATATTAAAGAGCCGGTATATAAACATATGAAAATAAATTTACAGTGTTTATGAATACATTTAATTAAATAAAATGAATCCAGTACCATGGATTAAGTCAACGAGAAGGGATGGTGACGGATAATATCTCACCTCATCAAAATACAGAACCACCTTTTTGTTGGGAGTCTCGACCCTCTTGAGGGTCTTCAGTTTGGTGAGTGTTTCAAGGTCGGCATCAAAGCCGGAGGGAACTCCGAGTTCCTGAATTGCCATGCCACTTGCGCCGGTCGACAACCATCTGAGGAGGCAACGTGGTACTGATGTGTAATAGTCCTTTATTACCGTTATGTATTTTTTATGCATTATTAAACGAATGGAGTAAACCATTTATAAATCATTCTCATACTTATCATATTTATATGAATCGAAATTAAACTTGTTCATTTCGACCATTGAATGTTCGGAACCTAAAATTATACCAAATACATAGCCTTCGCAAACACATGTCAAAAAGATTGATGTGAATGGGTTGCGGGAAACATGGTTCCAATATTTGAAGATGAGCAAGTCGTTAACCCAAGCTGATCTTCTTGGGAGTTGGATTTAAAGACACAACAAACATACGTTCATCTTTGGTACCCGACTTGCTCCTGATTAGATTTTTCTCCAGAAGGAGGAATATCATCCTTTTTAACTCATTATAGCCAACCTTCTGTATTTCATTATGTCCGATGACCAAACCTTGCAGTTGTATTGAAGCGAAAAGGAGAGTTGTAGCATTTGAAACAGATGATGAATTAAAACAATTATATACTATTTCAATGTTTTCCATCAGTATGCAATTGCACATTGTAAAGGTGTGTAGGTGAGGTGAAATGTGTTTTTACTTCACGTCGAGTTTATGTAAACAGCGATGTGCATGCACGTGTGTGTGTGTGTGTGCGTGCGTGCGTGCGTGCGAGTGTGTGTGTGAGTGTGAGTGTGTGCGTGCGTGTGTGCGTGCGTGTGTGTGTGTGTGTGTGTGTGTGTGTGTGATTGTGCGTGTGTGTGCGTGTGTGAGTGTATGACAAGTAGATCTATGTTGGTGTGGCAACTCGAAGTGGGATAAAGCGTATGATGTAAGTCGTCAAGAAAACACTATGACGTCGTGATAGATCAATGCCAATAGATCTCCACTGGATGATCCTCCACTGGACTAACACATGTCACTGTGCAATAAAGGTTTGTAAAACAGACTGATACAAACAGGGTGTATCTCATTATCAACGGTCGTCCATGTTATTGTTGCCGCTACTGATCATGGCAATTGTTGGCAATGTTCAGCTTCTGAAAATGCTTTACTCCTAATCAGTTGCCGAAAGACTTCAACGTGATGTCTAAGGGTACATATGTGTTATGTCTGTCGGTAGTAAGTGTGATGGCTGCCCCCACCCTCACCTGGTGCAGGTCTGGACGGTGATGGAGTTGATGTCCTCACTCAGAAGCGTGACGGTCACATCAAACGTTGGCTCCTCCACCTCAGCCTCAACGTTGAAAAACACGGCGACCTGAACGGCATTTAAAGAAATATGCTTTCACCACATCTTAATACACTATCAGCGTTAACTTAACACCCAACTTATATATGTACAGGTAACTCAACATTTATATCAAATGCCATCATAAAAAAGAATAGTGTTATCAGTATAGAGTAAACTGTCTCAAACACAAATTGAACATGATCTCATTTCGAAATAGCATGTTTGCATATAACCATGATGACAATGTTTGCAGTTTAGTAACACAGGTGCGTCGTCGTACCTGCACACTAATAATCATAGTTAATGCGCCTTTTTGCGATGGGTCTGAAGTGGAAAAGGTTCGCTCGCCACACCGAAGACCCGGGTTCCTTTTCTGACATGGAAGGGCGGTCGGGTAGCCTAGTGGTTAAAGCGTTCGCTCGTCACGCTGAAAACCCGGGTTCGATTCCTGACACTGGTACAATGTGTGAAGCCCATTTCTGGTGTCCCCCGCCGTGATATTGCTGGAATATTGCTAAAAGCGGCGTAAAACCATACTCACTCACTCACTCTGACATGGGTACAACTCGTAAATCCCATTTTCAAGTGTTCCCCCGCCGTGGTATTGCTGGAATATTGCTAGAGCGGCGTAAAACTCTACTCACTCAATGTTGCATGCTACTAGTATGCGTATGATGCCACCGACCTCAACAAGAGCGATGCCGGACCCTGTAGCCTGTACATTGACGCTGCTCGGGATGGATGGAAGCTGCAGGTAAAAACGGGTACGAAATCGTGAATATGTAATATATAAAGTATAACATACAATGAAAAGCAGTTAGTCCAGGGATGCTGTAGGGAGCATTAGTACTTAACAATAGGTACTGCCCATGATTTGGTAAGTTCAATTTGTAGATCCGGGCCAGTTAACTTGGAAGGGATATGGATTAACGAGATTAAATTATATGAACATTAAAAATATTTTAGGAAACTCAAGAGTGGATATGGATTAACGAGATAAAACTTTATGTACATTAAAAATATTTTAGGAAACTCAAGGGTGGATATGGATTAACGAGATTAAACTTTATGTACATTAAAAATATTTTAGGAAACTCAAGAGTGGCCGAACTAGTCAAGAACTGAACATTTCATACCCGGATAAATGGGCGAATATTTATGCACATTTTTGAATATGTGCGAGTTCAGTATTGACATGGTAGAGCGTGTGATCAGTGTGCAGCTGAAAGAAGGGTATTGGTGAGTACTCACCTCGACACTCTGGAGCACGAGCGCGTTGTTCTGGTTGACGGAGAATTGGTGTCTGAAGCTGCCACTGCTCACTGTCACCTGGATGTCGAAGTTGTTGGAGTACGCCATCTTGGCGAACTCAGACAGAGCCTGCAAGGCCAACACCGTGTCCTGGAAGAATATGACAGAGCCCCATACCAGTGTGAAGAAGAAGACTCAAGAAGAGTTTATTGCACTCAACACGATCAACAGTCACATCCATTTTAATACACGCACGCACGCACAACGACCTCACCAATGATGCTTTGGCTTATAGACAATTTCTCTAACAGGTATACTGTTATATCTAATGCGTTTGAGATATTCTAAAATGAAATCAACGACGCGGGCCTACCGCGCTTTGTGTACTTTAAGACAAGAGTTCAAGAGAAGGCGAAGTGGGTCTTGATTGTAATAAGAACCTGTGTTTTTTCCTAACAATGTAGATATAACACTAACTTGGGTGGAGGAAAATCCGCCGTGGGGATTACGCTGTGACGCCAACCACTTCATGATGTTAAGACCGCCGCTGAAATCGTTTTTCTCGCCGAAGATCAGCAGAGCGTATGCCGTCATCTCGATGTCGATGGCCTTCTTGGTTGATGGTGGTCTCCAGTATTTGGTGGTGGACTGTGTTGTCTTGACCTCAGGACGGTGCCAGTACTTGAATCCATCTGGAAACGTAGTTAACCAACACATTAACTTCAAAAAGAAAATGTAAGGCATGAGCATGTCCGTGACCAACGATGAACTGTTTACGAGATACGTGTATACCTTTTCGATTACGGTAAGAAAATCAGTTTGTATCAAAGATTTGCTAATGTGCAAAAATTAGACAACCGCATCCTTCAAACCTAAATAAGCCTTATGATCTCCTTTCAAAATGTCCTTTTACTCATTCTTTTAAATTCTGCAGATCCGTTTGGCCCAAAACGGTCTCATTGTACCGTGGCCTTGGTGGACATAGTTGAATATGAGTTTAAGTTATACAGAAGTTGAAAGAACATCGATGCTACCTTTAACAATAGCATGAGAGTTTAGTGTAGCAAAGGAAGTGTCGGTCTTGGTGCTGCCGGCAAGCTGTAGGGCATAGGTGATGATGGCCAGTGAGTAGTCATCTGCTGGAGTCTCATTCTCAAGGAACTGAAGAGCCTTGGTCGTGGCTGTGCGTATCCGCTGTTGGACATTCTGTGCAAATTACAAGAAGATGTAGACAGCCTGAATTCAAGAGACGCCACAAAGGAAGTATTATTGTGCAATAATGAGTGCATGAAATAAAATAACATGCTCAACTGAACATGTAGAGCCAGGGGTTGTGTCTATTTATTAGTGATGAAGACATGTCCCAATGTTCCTGTAGCCAGAGGTCATAGGTATACAACTATTATCTCCATATATGATATAGCTACGCGATAAGTCGTAAAGAACAATCAAGAACGGAGCGTGGTTTATTTCACGATTAAGCAGTGTTCTATCCTGACGCTATTCCTGGAAATTCGAATATACAGTCGCAATTTGATGGTTACTCGTTTATTTCTTAAATAAAGATTCACTTACCCCAACGAGGTCGTTGTTCTCGAGAAGGGCGATAAGAACATATGCCGTCAATGAAGCACCTTTGTTAGAACCTCCCTTGAGAAGAAATCACGGGCATATAATAATTAATGTCATTATTAACGTAAAACATGTTTCAAGGTATTCATATAAATGACCACAACAAACACATAAAAACGGAAAGGGGATTATTTACAGTTATATTCATAATATTGCAGGTGCATGACACGCAGCATAAAGGACAATGCCAAAAGACAGTCGCTGAGAAGTTGCAGGTCATCACGTGTGTTACTAAAGAAGTTGACTGTGTGTGATTACAAACCATATTTAAAAAAATAATATTATTGGTATTGGACCATTCAATGGGATTTGTACAATAACAGTACAAACCTATACATATATCAATGAAACACAATAAGATGTAATACATGTTGACAAACGAAGGGTGATCAGTCAGGACTCACGGTCATGTCCTTGTGGATGACCCGGCCTGGTTCAGGGAAAGAACCATCAGCCTTCTGTCTCGCTACCATCCAGTCGACAGCTCGTGTGAGGACATCGTCGTCGATGAAGGTGTATGGTTTAGCCTGATGGAACGTCTTTATAACGAACGCTGTCAACCTGGGAGCACAAATACCGAACATAATCTAACGTGCAAACTCATGCGAGATATTATTATGGTAGAATATAAAATAATATCTATTTCATCTAATGGAGTATGTGCGTTTGAAATGTACACATTGTATTAAAAATGTGTGTCTAAGAAATTCATGTGTCTTAACAGAACGTACCACATGCTGCCAGATGGGTCACGGTCACCAAACGCACTGAAGGAGCCATCCTTGTGCTGGTAGGTCAGCTCTCTCTGGTATCCTGGAGGAGATTGGTGACATGTAAGTTCAAAGTAAACGTTGACATGCTGTTGTGAGAAGGGTTTGGTTTTGGTTTGGTTTGTTGTTTAACGCCGTACTCAGCAATATTCCAGCTATATGACGGCGGTCTGTAAATAATCGATTCTGGACCAGACAATCCAGTGATTAATATCATGAGCATCGATCCATGCAATTGGGATCGATGACATGCATCAACCAAGTCAGCGAGCCTGACCACCCGATCCCGTTAGTCGCCTTTTACGACAAGCATAGTCACCTTTTACGGCAAGCATGGGTTGCTGAAGGCCTATTCTACCCCGGAATCTTCACGGGTCTGTGAGAAGGGAGTTTATGGTATTGAATGTTTATCATTTCATCCCATCGCCCATTATTGCTGTCCATTATTCCGAAGATTTGAGGAAGAGGAAACATCAACCAGTGAATCTAGATCCCGATGCACAAGGTTTGGTCGCACTATGGCTGTCCTTATTCTACACATGTATGACTATCACAGCGCTGAGTGGATCGGGGAACTTTCTGTTGGGAAGGGTATGGAATTCATGAGTTTAAATAGGTTCGGGCGGCACCACCGACATACCAGATTCCATGTACTTGATTGCCTTGTCTTCTATGTCTCCTGTCAGCTGTTTGGTTGCTGTCAGATAGTTGGTTACAAACACATCCGGTGCCAACCCCAGCATCGTCTGCTCACCACATCCGGTAGGCATGCGCAGAAGACTGTCTAGACCACTTACAGTTGGGCCCATCAGGTCACCTAATCGAACATGACAGGGTTATAGAGACGTTTGTCGGATAAAACAGAACAGTTGCCGCATTAAATTCTGGACATAACTGTAAGTTTGTATATATTGCCATAAAGACGGTTCAATTCATTCCATTTTATTTTCTTAAATTAACTAGCATACCAACGTGGGAACTGAATAGATACATTATAGATGTCGCATCTCTGAAATGACAATTATTTTTTATGATTACCCACTGAAGAAGACAGAATCAAATTGGCAAGCTACCACTAATCTTAGAAATTGAGTAATTCAATCGTGATTTTGTAACGCCATGATGCTTGATATACTGTGAACACCTGGATATGCAACGGTATTGTTTTATTTTATCACTGACCAATGGCGGTGATTCTAGCGGTCTGTGATCCAGAGACGACGTTCTGTGGCAGAGTGATGGGGACATTCTTGGAGAAACTGGTGGCCTGCTTCAGGTCAATCAGGACAGGAACATTGTACTCTTTGGGGGTTCCTTCGGGCTGAAGAAAGATGACATGATGAATACATGTTGGAACACACTGTACCCTGCAGGAGCTACATTAGAGAGATAACGTGGTGAATACGTATGTTATGATAGCCCTAGATATGAATGCATGCTGTTTTATCAAAACGCGATTTTTGTTCTGTAGAAAGGTTTCCTAACCTATGACACCTCAGTTGGTCATAAATGAATGTTCTTCGCTTTACACGTTTATTGTGGATAGTGTCCTATAACGGAATGTCTGACACATTACTAGGCATTATTGATATAAGACATAACACATAACACTAATGAAAGTTCGTCGTTTGAAGTAATCACATTCCATCTGACTTTTTCACACTTGATAAGTTTCATTTCAATTGTATTATCTTGAAATGTGTCTAAAAGCAAAACGTTTTTACAGTATAATAACCGCAAATGTAGCCTAACTTAGCATCGACTGTGCTTTATCGGTCTAACATAGTGAGATGACTGTGCCTTCTTGGTCTAACATAGTGAGATGATTGTGTTTTGTGGGTCTAAAACAGTGAGATGATTGTGCCTTGTTTGTCTAACATATTGTGATGATTGTGTTTTATTGGTCCAACATAGTGAAATGATTGTGCCTTATTGGTCGAACACAGTGAGAGGATTGTGTTTTATTGGTCTAACATAGTGAATGATTGTGTTTTAGGGGTCTAACATAGTGAGATGATTATGTTTTAGGGGTCTAACATAGTGAGATGATTGTGCCTTGTTGGTCTAAAATAGTGAAATGATTGTGCCTTATTGGTCCAACATAGTGAAATGATTGTGCCTTATTGGTCTTACATAGTGAGATGATTGTGCCTTATTGGTCATACACAGTAAATGATTGTGTTTTGTGGGTCTAACATAGTGAAATGATTGTGTTTTATGGGTTTAACATAGTGAGATTATTATGTTTTAGGGGTCTAACATAGTGAGATGATTGTGCCTTGTTGGTCTAACATAGTGAAATGATTGTGCCATATTGGTCTAACATAGTGAGACGATTGTGCCTCATTGGTCAAACATAGTGAGATGATTGTGCCTTATTGGTCTAACATAGTGAAATGATTGTGCCTCATTGGTCAAACATAGTGAGATGATTGCGTTTTACGGGTCAAACATCGTGAGATGTTTTAGGGTCTAACATAGTGAGATGATTGTGTTTTATGGGGATGACATAAAAATGGATAATGAAGTACCTCGACCAGAAGCTGTCTCTTGACGGCGTCAGCAGCGAGGGTGGATCGAGCGGAGACGGTCAGGTCGATCTTACCCAGTGTGGCGGGGACAATGGGGAAATATACAGAGGTGGCGCCACCTGCCTTCACCTGGAATATCGGAGATTATACACACACGTTTAGTAAAAAAAACACCGACAAAGTCAAGATCATATTGCGAAGTCCAAGATCAGATTGCAGTAGAAACAGTGGTAATTGAAGTGCCATTAAAAAAGACAAATATTTACTGGCGACGCAACAAAAACATATCACGATTATCAGTGAAGCAGGGTACTCACATAAACAGTCTGCGTTTGGTCCTTGGATTCTGTTTGTTCCCGACCGTTAGCATCAATAACAACATTCAGGTAGTCCTTGGATTGAGGGATGGACACAACAGCCTGTAAGGAGGTCAAGGTATTTTAGTGTCAGTGAGGAGGTTAAACTCCACAGTTCTCTATTTCTACAGCTCATATCGCGGCATATCAACTTAATTGGGAAGAAGGTCGGATGCCCGACAGGTCTTAGGCGTTTGTTACTTTCGTTAACACAGGGGCAAGGGGGAGGAGAAATAAAGGATTTTAATCAGGCCGAGTCTGGGATTCGAACCCACGGTCTAGGATCCTGGCAGAGTATTGTGGCGCTTCAGACAACAGGTCCCTGGGAATGCGTACCTGTAGCCGTTTCAGAACCACATAAAACAATTTATACACCTCCTAACATTGCCATCTTTTTTATCAGAAACGTCAATGCGGAAGAACAACCCATATGTTTATCAACCCAACAGGATTTGGTTGTAAAGAAATTTATGCAAGTACGTTTCAGAGGTAGTCGCAGGGTGACGTAACATTGTTAATGACATTGAATGTATAATAATAAAGACTAATCAACACTGTTTTAATGGAAAAGACAAAGAATACTGATCGCAGATCGATATGCTCAGTATGTATTCAAAATGTTTCATTTCATATTGAATTTATACATCGACGTTTTGGGTGAGATAGTTGAAGACGATGGCCTGGACTGGCCTAACACTGGAAGCAGCAACTAATAATGTCCTCTCTATTACTCACGTCGACGTCCTGGGTGAGGTAGTTGAAGACGATGGCCTGGAGAGCCAGCTGTTCCCCTCGCGTCACGGAGTAGGGCAGGTTGAGGCTCACGAAGAAGGGGCGGAACACTCGGATCTGAACATAGACATATTGTGTAGGCATATGAAGAATTTATATGCTTATTAAACGGTTCTCTCCATCCAGGGGATCTTGACAGATTATATCGTATATATAACAAGCTTTCTTTATTTACATCAATCCCTCTTCTACGATAATAATGTAATCTGCCTTCGGAGTAGCCTCTTTTTAGCATTCAATGGTCATGCTGAAGACACGGGTCGATACCACCGGGTACAATTTCAGATGTAGTGGTATTGACAGAAAGGGGCTTAACGCTGCGAGAATCGTATTGGAGGTATGTTGTTTGCCTCTAGTGAGTGAGTGAGTTTGGTTTTACGCCGCTTTTAGCAAAACAATAATATTCCAGCAATATCACGGCGGGGGACACCAGAAATGGGCTTCATACATTGTACCCATGTCGGGAATCGAACCCGGGTCTTCAGCGTGACGAGCGAACGCTTTAACCACTAGGCTACCCGACCGCCCTGTTTGCCCCTAGATCTGGACCATTAAATTACGAGTTAACCGCAGTAGCATCGTGTCGATACAGTGCTTTATTGAATAAGGAGAATTTACACTAAGTCATTTTCAACAACATCTGTTAATTGTTTATACACTGGATACATATAGGCAGTACAGTGGTTGGTGGAGTTTCATGTCTGAGCAGAATCGTTAAATCTGATGGTTCTCTACCCAGTGTTAATTAACGCCACTCAACAACCACTGACCACAAAATGACCCCTTTTCAAACGTCGTTCGGCCGTACTCTGTTCGATATTTTCCCCCGTGGAGATTCAAAGTAACGAGAGATACGGTTACATATATCTACATTAAATATATAATATTTGTTTTGCAGTCCACATGTACGAACAGAGCGACTTAAAGTTCAGCTCTGGGACAATAATCCACAGATCGGATCTTCCTCAGAGATCCTTTGAATAATTGATTAATGCCATACCTTAGCTGAGGTTGGTGCAATTCCAAGGCCACTCTGAGCGTTGACGGCGAAGGCGCTAGCCACCCAAGACGTGATGGTGTCTGGCACTGTTGTTGAGATGACAGCTTTGCCATCGGTACTGTAGTATTCAAATGATGTAACAACTGATTATATGGGCAGCTGATTACACGAACTGAATATTATTGACCTACACATTAAAATATAACGTCCATCATTATTAACACACACATTAATGCAGTTTATATGACATATAACTTCAACTCAAGAGAACAATCAGTCTCCTCTAGATTATCCGCCGAAACAGATTCCACTTGGTGTGGAAGGCAAAATAGTGATAAATAAACGTATTTACTGGACTTAAAATGTAGTAGAAAATATAACTAACTATCAACGATATATGTGCGTACGCTTACAAAAATATATTCATGGTATCATATAAAGAACAGTTTAAATCAAACACTAAAAGCATTGCGCTAAGCAGCAGAGATAAGGTTATAAGCAGGTTAACACTGGAACATGCACAAAACATGCACAAAACATGCACAAAACAACACGCCTTGGTAAGAAGGTTTACGGTACGCAGAGTGGAAAAGTGAAAGGTTCCGTTAAGAAAGTTCAAAGAAGCAACTTCCAAAATACTGTGGTAATGCCTGTCACATAAAATACATGGCATTTGCAGTGGGATCCCCCATCTTAAAGAACCAGCTGCCAATGGACATTCACTCAAAGGACCATAAGCATTTCAACGCCGAGTATGCAATTCCAGTGCAGCATTTTGGTATGCAATTCTGTAGCCCTCTGTTGAAATACTTGTGATCCAATCAAAAAAAATCCAAATGAGTCCTCTCAGTATAATTATGATCCAATTAAAAACCATCTATCTGAATCTTGTTAGTAATTGATTGGTGAGCCGAAACATTTCAATGCACCAGCCTTTCAGATTGCCATAGCCAACATCATATCATCATCTAGTGGTAGTATTATATGATGAAGACACTGTCTTGGGTGTTCTAGTTTTTGTTTTGAAGAGGCAGAAGATGCAGTAGTGACAGTGTATATCCCTGCCGTCGATTATGCGCGCTAAGCCTACGGCCAACATACTAGTAATGCAGTACCCTGAGCTAGTATTACTCCAAAGCCACGTCTCGGGAAAAACGTTTCTAACTCTTTCAACCTCCTGCAGGTTTGGTTTAGTATTGGTAACTGTTCCTGTTGCAACATGGGCAGTGACCACATTTGGAAATATATGTGGAATACCACCCATCAGGAAGCCACCATGGAATCTGGGATGATCTAAATAAAACAAAGTTGCTTTGTAGTTAATAAACTCTAACATGCAGCTGTTGCCTAATCTCCAAGAGGGACACTACTATGGCATTATCTTTTCAATATTGGTTATGATGTCTATCACATCAGTTACCATTTCCTGTATTTCCTCGTTTATAACAATGGACAAAAAGAATGGTACTAAGACGAATTCAAGATATTGGTTTACATAATGGCATAATACTAGCTAAGTTTCCCATCTTATATTTTGTATTATCCGTCAATAGCTAAGTTACTCACCATTATGAACGATCACAGAGAATCATTTTCTAAGTTGCACAGTATTGTTTGACAAATACACATTCCGAGTAATTCATGTCCTTGAACAAAATACATGCATTGGTAATTATCTATAACATACTCCCTCATACCCCATTTAAGAACTTCGTACGCATTGAAGCACCTGTTCGTCAACATATACAAATGTCTAGATTAGAATTTCTAGGTCTAGTGCTGGTTGGATATTCATTAATCGATAGAGCCGGTAAGATGGTACCCTAGTTTTAGTCGGTGACAGAAGATGAAATATACCTTCACACTGACAATCTGACGGCTTGGTAAACGCTGGACCATGCTTAGATGGTATGCAAATGGTCAGTTTCACAGAGTGAAACAGAGAGTGGAGATGGGATTTCACTTTAACAATTTACGACACCGGCTGTGCTATAGCCATATTGCTGGAAATTCTGTCCTGAAAGGTTCCATTTCTGTGAGAAACCCCATGTCCGAAATTACTGAATATATTCCAAGCCAGCTCCTCCATAGCCACTATCAACAGAATTAGTGTCTGGAGAGCATGAAGGAAACATGGAATGGATGTGCATCAGCAACTGAAACATGGCAAGGACACAGTGGTATATGTAATTACCAAGAGGGGTGTGCAGGAGCATATCCTTGTGTTGCGCTTCAGATGTCTATCAGTAAGATGAGCCACGATTTCTTGTGCAAACTCATATATCATCTTGGGTGATTCCTTTCGGCATGAGATAAATGTGACAGACAAGACATCAGTGAGAAGTGCATTGATCAGCAATAATGTGAGCGATGGACCAGACATGTTTCAGGAAATGTGCTTCGGGTGTGTTGAACATCCTTCAACGCCATAGACCCGTCCACTGCATCTTCCAGCGTGATTCGTTTGGGCACGATCTAAATACGATAGCTAGGCAAAAGAATGTTGCAGGCATGGGCTCAAGGCAGAAACGATATCAATGACAAAACACATTGATCAGATGGCTGATGATTCGAGGGAGGTACCTGACAGTCTGATTCTGCCAGAGCCAAGTTTCAGGAAATACATTTCTGATGTGTTCTACTTCCTTCAACGCCTCATTGCCGCCCACTGCATGAGGTACCGCAACTCCTGATCCCAATCCAGATCCTGTTAGGGAAGCTAAAGGCAATGGTTGTCGCATGGGGGCGAACTCACACATGATACAGGGATCTAAAAATGAATAAATCTCGGATTTTGACAACGGTGCAACAATGTTTAGCAGGGTAACACATTTAAAGTTGTACTGAACATAATCTGTACATATCTCTAGTTGACAAAGGACAAAATTACAAAACGTGTATGCGTAATCGAGATTATACAGGTCCAGTGATTTATGTTTGTTCGTTCGTTTGTTTGTTGTTTAATGCCGCAATATTCCAGCTATATTCCAGCTATATGACGGCGGACTGTAAATAATCGAGTCCAGACAATCCAGTGGTTGACATCATGAGCATCGATCCACGCAATTAGGAAGCGATGACATGCATCAACCAAGTCAGCGAGCCTGACCACCCGATCCTCTGAATTGCCTCATACGACAAGCATAGTCGCCTTTTACTTCAAGAAAGGGTTGCTGAAGACCTGTTCTACCCGTATCTGCACAGGTCGGTTTATATTCCATCATATACAAACGTACCACCGATGACAACCGAATAATAAGAGAGGCACCAGTCACGTTGTGTCATGCATGTTCGTATGTGAGATAACAGAACACACTAACCTCAGGGTAACAAGATCGAACAAATCTATATCGAAAATAGTAATTCCGATAGTTAGACACCTGAGCCCAACACCACAAATGTTGAATAACTGCTATATCTAAACATGCTCACACCAAACTACCATGCATATCTAAACCAATACATTCACGGCAGTAACATTGACGTGCCCTGTGGTGATGTCATGCAGAGCACGGGAGAGTACATATCCCAAATGTTACAACTGATCTGGTCAGTGTGGCGAGTGTACCTAGTCGATGTGTTCAACCACAGCCATGACTCTGGGAACCACTGACGGAGGTGATCCACCTCCACCAGTACTTCGCTGTTCACGCTGGTAGATCTGGTTGCCATCGGGAGAACCGTAGTAGAGTACCTGTATCGGTGCCACGCTGCATGCAAGGATGTATCATTTCGACATGTAATCATGTTATAAGAATGATCAAAAGTGGTAGGAACTGAAAACTAAAAAAGAACCTTCCCAAAAGAAGTTTCTACAACCATTATATGGTAGGTATGTCATGAAATGTGTAGGTAATGGTAACGGGCGACCTCATGAAAACTAAAGGTAGGCTACCATCCTAGGAGATGGGAGCCAAACAGAAAGATTTGAAGTGTAAACCAGGACCACAGGGGTTGGGGGAGATTCTGAATTACCAAACAGTAGTACTGGTCCACATCCAGGTCTCTGGAAAGTCCGTTCTTATTCTCTCAACTTCTGCTAATTTTGATGTTGGTCTGCTGATTGAAGAGGTCTTGACCATTTCAGGTGACGCACGAGCTAACATTGCCATGGGTGCAAATGCTCTCATTCTCTTTCTGAAAGGGCGTCTCACTGGAGTATGACAAAATGTGGATATACGTTGCTTGAAGTGGAAGGAATGGTCAAGTACATACGCTTGAAGTTAGGAAAAGAATGATTATGTTGCAACACAACAGAACATCATTCCGGTCGTGGCATAATGCCAACGTCTTCATTTTCACATATGAGAGACAGACCATTCACGGTAATAAGCCATATTTTGGGCTGATAAGTCTGAAAGAGAAACTAGTGTTTTACGTGTCTAAGGTGCATACTATTACTGACAAATGCCATTAAGGATTACTACAATTGTATTTACCATTAGACAAAAAGAAAAAGAGTTATTGACTGAGTGATTATTCAAAATTTACGACTTTGTGTTAGAAGTGTTATGTAGTTTCTACTGTCAACGTTTGTGATTTATGTTTAGATGTGTGTTTGGCGCTGGGCTACAGCAGTCCCACCTACTTGTGACACTAAAACGTCAATAGTTGAAGCTTCCTTTACATCTCAAACTCTATTTAACTCCAAATAAGACCAAAGGCCTCATGTGTGCTCACATCTTTGGACAAAAACTCTCCTTTGACACGTCTTTCCCAGTTCGGATTCAGCTTAGCGATTATATCTCGAACATAGGAAAGATCAGCAGAAGTTGCGAGGAATGTAACTATTCTGTTGACAAATACCCAGTAGAAGAGTTGGTCCAAAGCCATGTTTCTGGAAAGTCACTGCGTATTTTCTCCACTTCCTTGAGTGGTGCGTGGTGTGTATCGACCGCGCCTCCTGTACCACTTACCATACCATTAACCACCCCAGGCACCACCCCTCCAGCCATGGCCATCATTGGTAGGTAAAGAGGCACTGCAGCATCAGACAGGGTTCATCATATAGTTTACCAGATAGCAAATGCCACTATGTATCTAAGAACATTTTTTTGGTTCAAGTTAAAGTCGTTGCTTGTCAATAGTTTGTATATCTGATTGTTGCATCTTCTGTTCTACTCGACTGACGTATAATGAAATGAATTGTAAATTTCAAGGGACTTGAAGACATTTGGGCTTGGATGTGTGGATGGTTGTTGGATTTGGGGATGATGGCTCTGATGTAGGGCCACAAAAGTAGCTAACAAAGTGCAAAATCGCAGTAGCTGAAGCTTTCCTAAACTCTCAAATCTTATTTACCTCTGGTTAACTTAATTACTCTTCCCCTTTTGGGATATCAGGCGTTTGTTTAAGTCTTAACAATATATATTTAAATTCCTGACCAAGTGGTTTTCCAAATTAACATATTATAATATAAATATAGTATCAAAATAATAGTGGGCAATAATGCCTACCAATAATGGTTGATGAACACAAATATAATATATTGGTGTTTGGTAAATCATTCTTGCCAATCACCGTTTGGCGGTGGGGTGGTCTAATGATTGTGGCTTTCGTTCGTCACGTCGATAACCCAGGTAAGACCTCCCTGGCTCATTTTGTAAAGTTCCTTCATGATACACGTGAGAAATGCACTGTATGTAATGCAGGTTTACGCGAATTACAAGTCAATATATTCAATACATAATATTACAATGTACATCACCTTTCTTGTCAGACAGCTCTTTTAATTCATATTTTCCGAATGGCCAAGAATTCTCCCTAAAAACAATAATTTACTAGCAGAGTCTAGTTTATCAATTCCATTCGAAAAATGAAAGAAACTTTGGGACAGACAAGCAGAATTGGCGAGAAATAAAAGGTGAGGTGGGGTGAAATTGAGTTTAACGTCGCGTCCAATATTATTGCACATATATAGCGACGTGCATGTACGTGTGTGTGTGTGTATGGCTGCTTGTACTAGTCCGGACTGATGCCGATTTATAGTGCTAGTTAACTGAGATACTGTGCCGCAGTTTAACATGAATACCCAACTCAGACACAGTATACTGACACCGAGCCGACCAGTCCTTGCTTTGGCCCCTTAATGCCGAGCGCCAGACAGGATAACAACAAGTACCATCTTTTAACGTCTTTTGGTATGACGCGGCCAGGAATTGAACTCCGGACCTTCCGCTCTACCACTAGACCACGGAAGCAGTCGGCGAGAAATATAATCACTCTGTTGATAAATGCACAGTGGAATAGCTGGTCCAGAGCCTTGTGGGATGATGCATTTGGACATGATCTAAATGTGTTGCAAGACAGACAAGATATCAATTACAAGAACACTGATCAGGAATAACGCGCTGACATGTTTCAGGAAATGTGCTTCGGATCTGTTGTACTTTCTTGGACGCCACAGGATTGGCCACTGCATCTTCTAGGGTGATTCGTTTGGACGCGAGGTAAACACGATAGCCAGGCAAAGAATGCTGCAGACATTGGTGCAGGGCAGATGAGAAGCACATTGATCAGATGAGAACAAAGTACCTGGTAGTCTGATTCTGCCAGAGCCAAGTTTCAGGAAATGCACTTCTGATGTGTTCTACCTCCTTCAACGCCCCAGTACCACCCAATACCTGAGGTATGGCAACTCCTGATCCTAAGACAGATCCTGTTTGGGGCGGCATTGGACCATGTGCCAGCATGTCACAAAAAATGCAGGGATCTAAAAACGAATGAATGTCAGATTTTGACAACGATGTTGCAATGTTGAGGAGTGAAACATATTTATATTGCTGAACATTCAAACATATATTACCTCAGTTGGATAGACATATCCTTCCTGATTCATAATCCATCACACATTCAAACATGCCACCGATGGCAATTGAACGTAGTATTCCCCTGGCACATGGCAGAGAGGCAGCCGTCATGTTGTCAACAGAACCTGATTCTTATGGGAGATAACACAACACACAACCCTCATTCTGATATATTTACATCTATACCAATCACAATCAATGTTGAATAATTGCTAATACAAGGCATGCTTAGACCAAACTGCCATGAATATCTAAACCAATAAAATAACGACAGTAATACATCAACACGCTCTGTGCTGATGTCATGCAGAGCACGAGAGAGTACATATCCCAAATGTTACAACTGATCTGGTCAGTGTGGCGAGTGTAGCTAGTCGATGTGTCCAACCACACCAGGACTCTGGGAACCACTGACGGAGGTGCTCCACCTCCACCAGTACTTCGCTGTTCACACTGGTTGATCCGGTTGCCATCTCATTCTGTGGAAGCCTAAAGGCATTATCAAAACTCCAGAGTCAGTTTGAACGGCGTCTCGCTGAATGTAAGGATGGATGTTAGTATCCTTTGGACATGTAATCATGTTACAAGAACGAAAAGATTAGTAGGAACTGGAATCTGAAAAGAACCATCCCAAGAGAACAGAAGTTAGTTTCTACAACCAATATAAAGTCGGTATGTCAAGAAGTCGGTAGGTTATGTTGACGTGCCTCCTCATATAGGTTAATATCCGAGAAGGGTTAATGTGTTAGCTCTGTTCCAAACCTTGGACCACAAGTAGAATGGGTTAGGTCCGTAATAAGACATTTTGAATTACCCAATAGTGGTATTGGTCCACATCCAGGTCTCTGGAAAGTTAACTCTTGTTCTCTCAACTTCTGCTAATTTTGGTGCTGATCTGCTGATTGTAGAGCTCTTGGCCATTATAACAGGTGATAACTCAGCAGACATGGCCATAGGTGCAAATTGTCTTCTCGCCATAAACATAGGGCGCATCACTGGAACTTTACAACATGTAGAAATACGTTACTTGAAGTGGAAGGAATGGTGAAGTATACTACTCAAAAGAAGTTTTAAGATTCTTCATATTACTATACATGTAGTTAATCTGTCATACGTCATACATCATACGTCAACCAAGTCAGCAAGCCAGACCACTTGAGTATCTGACAATACAACAAGAAATATAGCATCCAAACATCCTTTCATCATTCCTGTGTTGTCATGATGCCAGAAAATTAGAGCATTACGTATAAAGACTTCTTCATTTTCACATGTGAGAAAATGTCAATTTACAGTATATTTGGGGCTGATTAGCCTAAAAACGAAAACAAGGTTTAACGTGGTTTATGTTTCGCTTTTAGGGATAAAGTTTATTATTCATTTAAATATATTCATTTAGATGAAGCCATAGCTTCATCAGCAGACACAACAAGGTTACATGACTCGGTTAGTTTGTGTCAAACACTCAGCACCATTGCAGAGCATTTATAGATGTCTTTGTGTGATTAAAAATGATACAAGTGTATGTATATTAATGATAATATTGATTTGGGATTTTGTTAGCGTTGATATTCCAGTACTGACATGTTGTCAGCAATTTTACGACACTGACAATCCTGACCAGTATAATAAAGGATATACAGAGTTGTTGACCGACAGCTTCACGCTTGTTTTGTTTGTTTTATTTGTTGTTTAACGCCGCACTCAGCAATATTCAAGCTATATGACGGCAGTCTGTAAATTATCGAGTCTGGACCAGACAATCACGAGCATCGATCCACGCAATTAGGATACGATGACATGCATCAACCAAGTCAGCGACCCTGACCACCCGATCCCGTTAGTCGCATTCTACGACAAACATAGTCGGCTTTGACGGCAAGCATGGGTTGCTGAAGACCTGTTCTATCCCGGATCTTCACGGGTCTTTTCACACATGTAGTGTTCATATGGTTATTCATAATTTAGGACTTTGTTTAATGCCAGGCTTCTTAGAAATGTTTGTCTATTGTTGCAATATGTATTCGTGATTTATGTTAAGTGGCGACTTTGGCGTATAGCTACAGCAGTCCCACACTGTAGCAAAGTGCAAAATCGTCAATAGTTGCCAACTCTTTTTAACAAGAACAAAATGAGCTCACATCTTTGGACACAGACTTTCCCTTGACACTTCTTTGCCAGCTTAGAATCAATCAGCTTATCAATTATATGACGAAGAAAGGACAGATATAGATGGGACAGACAAGCAGAATTGGCGAGCAATGTAATTCCTTTGACAAATACCCAGTAGAAGAGTTGGTCCAAAGCCATGTTTCCGGGAAGTCACTGCGTATTTTCTCCACTTCCTTGAGTGGTGCGTGGTGTGTATCGACCCCGCCTCCTGTTCCTGTTCCTGTACCAGTTCCCATCCCATTAACCATACCTGCCCCCACCCCTCCAGCCATGGCCATGGGGTAGTAAAGAGGCACTGCAGCATCAGACAGGGTTCATCATACAATTGACCAGATAACATATGTCACTATGTGTATAATAACATTTGTTAGCTTGATTTGCGGTAAGGTTGTTGTCTGTCAATATCATGACTATCTAGTTGTTTTTTCTGTTCTGCTTAACTGACTTTTTATTAAATGAATTCGTGTGACTTGAAGTCATTGGAGCTAGTGTATGGTTTGTGAAGGCGTGTGTGTGTGTGTTGGTCCTGGGGGTGTCGGATTTAGTAATTGGAGTAAACATTGGCATACTTGCTTGTCGTTGATATTATCTATTGGCACAAAAACCCAACGTATAATATCAAACCCCAATAAGGTATCCAAAACGAACAATTCTGGCCAATACAAACAAAGATACAAAGATTTTTCGACTGAATGCTTCACTATGGTAGTGATCATGTGAGTATTCGTACTTTGTCTAATGTTGCCTAGAAGTTCTTGTGTTTTACTGTATATATTCGCGATTTAAGTTTGGTGGTGACTTGAGGTACTGGTAAGGAAAGCACAAAAATCGAAAATCGTTGCTTTCCTATAATCTTCAACCCAACCTGTTTACTTAATTTCTCTAACACTATCGGTATATCAAACGTTTGTTTAGGCCTAAGAATGTATCTTTATTCCTGGCGAAATGGTTTTCCAATTAAAACATATTTTCTGGTATGCGCATATTAGGCTAATATTGGCACATACATATTTCAATCACGCTGGCTTCGTCTCGTAAATTATTAAATATACTGATTTACTCTTATTCGAAATAATACCCTTTATAAAATTAAAAAATGTCAAGAATTTGAAATGTATCATGGTTGTTGATATTGCAAGAGGCAAGATAACGGTTTCCAAAGCTAACTCTAAAGTGGTCTAACCTATGTTTGGGGGGAAAGAGTTAATGAATTGTGTTAGATGCTGCTTTCAACAGTACACTGCAAACACGAAAACGTCGTTTTTTCCGTATATGGGCATTGGACGGAAAAACGACGTTTTTTGGACGCTTTCTAACCATCGTTTTTCCATCGAGAATCTGACGCTTGAAAAACTCGACGTTTTTCCGTACACTTTCTAGACGCTCACCCATTAATCAATTTTAATGAATTTTTAGTCGTTTTTCCGTCCAATGTCCATATACGGAAAACACGACTTTTTCGTGTTTGCAGTGGTATACCGGTTATTTGGTGGCGTGCTTCAGAATAACGGTCGGCAATAACACATGGACAGCATGACTGATGAACACAACATATAAATTGGTGTTTGGGGAGGTATGCTATTTTCGACGGTTTCAATGATCGTGATGGCCTAATGATTAAGGCCTTCGTTCGTCACGCCAAAGATCTGTTTTCGATTCACTTGCTTGATGTGTAAGTCCCACCCCGACAAACTCTTGATAAACCAGATAAGAGTACTTAACGTGACGTCCAATACTACTCAGTCGTTTCCAGGACGAATGCCGGTTATAGTCATATTATAGTCAAAGTAATATTACATGACCAGTATTCTCAGACAGTTCTGTTTAATTCCTATTTTCCAAAGGGCCTGACATGTACTCTTTGCACGCAGGAACTTTCCCTTGCACGGAAGTTTATGAATTATATCGAGAAGAAAGAAAATATTATTTGGGAAAGACAAGCCGAATTGACGGGAAATGTAACCGTTCGGTTGACAAATACCCAGTAGAAGAGTTGGTCCAAAGCCATGTTTCTCGAAAGTCACTGCGTATTTTCTCCACTTCCTGGAGTGGTGCGTGGTATGTATCGACCCCGCCTCCTGTTCCTGCATCAAATCCCATCCCATTAATCATTCAAGGCATATGCATAAGCCCTGGAGCAGACAGGTTTCATCGCACTATTTACCATTCCGTTTAATTCAACTGATGTGTATAGAAATGAATGACAATTTCCGTGTGACTTGAAATTGGACTGGGGCGTGAAGGTGGTTGTTGGATTAAAACTTTGGCATAATATATTATTGTACACCAGTCTATAAAGGACGTGAACGTTGTCACTTTCAGTCGATCGGATGACTTAAATCACAATAAAAAAAATTCATATATGCTGCCATATTTAAGTGTATATAATGGATCTAAAATGACAGTTTACATGACGCATACATTCACTGTGTGTAAAATGATCAGTATGCAAGCATAACGTTTTGTTAAGAAATGTATAATCAATGTTATACAATGTAGTTGAGACCAACTGGGCATTAAAAGTTAAACACATTCTTTTTGTACTGGTTTTATATACAGTAATTGTCAAACTGCAATCTATAAGCAATCGATGTCTGAATTAATACTTCGTTTCAAATCGTGGCACACAATCCTATGGCAAAATTGGCACGCAATCGTACGATTAAGTTCAATTTTTTTTTTCAGTTGTTAATTTTGCATTAGAATGATAAAAAAGACTACGTAACCAGGGCCAAGTAGGTGAGGTGGCATGGGGTTTAACGTCACATCCACGATTGTTGCACTTATATAGCGACGTGCATGCGCGTGTGTGTGACTGCTTGTACTAGTCCGGACAAATTTATAGTGCAAGCCTACTGAGATACCATGCGCAGTTATGAACACCCCATCCAGACACAGTTTACCGACTCCGAGCCGACCAGTCCTTGTTTATCCCTTAATGCCGATCACCAGGCAGGGTAACAACAAGTACCACCTTTTAACGTATTTTGGTATGATACGGCCGGGGATCGAACAACGGACCGTCCGCTCTCCCACTAGACCATTGAGGCGGTCCCCTTCGATAAATATCATGTCGCTTTGTTCATATGATATGTACGTATATACCCCATACATGTTTTCATAATCTTCCTCACATACGTTTATTTGTTGATAAATTCAACTTGTGTATCCCGTATGCACTATTTAAAACATTTTAACAATGCGGTTGAGACTTATTTAAATTACCTATATGCATGTATTACCTATATATTGTATATTCATATTCTGTCACTGTATACTCTTTAAAATAGAAGGGGCATATAGCCTACACCAGTTGAAGACAAAATTATCATTATTATTATGATTATTGTTGTTGTTGTTGTTGTGACTATTATCTCCTTAACTTGCAACTAGCGAGACAGTGAAAGAAGGGCAGGGGGTATAGCACATGCAACACATAGCTACCAGGAAATACCTCGTGGTAAGGTTTGTCCATAGCCAGGTCTCTGGGAAGTCACTTCGTATTCTTTCTACCTCTTTCATATTTTGTGTTGGCAGCCCCACCTGGTGGTGCGCCATACCGGGCATACCTCCGAGCATCGATTCAAATATAGGGGGAGCTACAACGATTGAGTGAGTGAGTGAGTGTGTGGGTGGGTGGGTGGGTGGGTGGGTGAGTGCGTGCGTGAGTGAGTGAGTGAGTGAGTGAGTGAGTGAGTGGGTGAGTGAGTGAGTGAGTGAGTGAGTGAGTGAGTGAGTGAGTGAGTGAGTGAGTGGGTGGGTGGGTGGGTGGGTGCGTGCGTGCGTGCGTGCATGCGTGAGTGAGTGAGTGAGTGAGTGAGGATTAACACCGCTTTGAACAGCATTCCAGCTATATAACGGTGTCTCAGCATGAAATTATGCAGGCCTTAGAGGTTCACCACACTTGTGAAACCCACGAACACGGGTATGGTCCTGACCCAGAAACAAAAATCGGGGCGAACCGGGAGTCGACCCACGACAATAGGTTTCTGGCGTTCCCAAAGGACGCAACACTACACAGCGAATTGCGGCACCTCAGACGATGCTATAGATGATGACGTTTAACCCAATGGCTACATATTACTGGTGTCTAAAATATTTGTGTTTATCCTTTAACGTCTTGTCAATCTAATTTGTCGTATATAGTATGCTATTTTTAATAATATCCTTCGGAGAGCAATATCTGAATTATCACATGTATCTACACATTTAAATATTTTTAGGTTAATATATTAAAAAGAATTAAAATGTGTGTTATTATTTGTAAAGTGTAAACAATTTGTCTATGAAAGTCATTAAACCATGACACTGATACATATCAAAAGTAAAATATTCACTCCCTCTTCTAGCTATAGGCAAGTGTATCCACTTTCTTGTGCTTAGTACCTTTTCAGTTTATTAAAAGGCAGCGTGCCTTTAATTAAGTCTGCCTAACGGGACATAATGTTTACACTGTGTTCGGTTAAGAGAACTGTGGATTCCGATGTGTGTATTTCTACTGTGGGGTGAGAAGATGTAGGCCGAGTTCACACGCGATACCAATCTAAGTACATATCAAATATTGAGATCATGTGAAGAAATTCTCAATGTGAACACGGATACAATGTTTTTGCGCAACTCGTCTTGTGTATTTATTTATTTATTATTTTTTTTATTTTTATTTTTTATATTTTATTTATAGTCTGAATTTATTTTTTTAATGCTCTAACACATCCTTTGACATAACATTATGGTCATATATATATGACTTTATGATCCAATATGAGGTTCTAAGGTGAACCTAGTGAGTCAGGGGGGCGTGGTACACAGGTAGAAAATGCACAAGAAGCAGCTATAACTACTGTGTGTCTTTATCTAGTTACCCAGCAGTTGTGTTCATCCACAACCATGTCTCTGGGAAGTCAGTACGAACTTTCTCAACTTCTTTCAAAGTTTCAGGAGCCTGTATTCCCTTAAGGACATGTACTGATTCCAATACGGCCTTATCTATTGTGTATACTTCAATAGAAAGCCAAAATAGTTAATGGAAGTAAAATGTTTATGTTAGCACGCCATGATGTCATGCCTCAATTACCAAAAGGGTCTTTATACAAAATATCCAAAAAACATCAATGTAGATCTTATAACTTGTTGTGATGCTGTATTTTAAGGCATGCTCAATAATGAATGTTAAGGATGCTACATAATCTTTTAGACTGAAGTCTGTTTGTTTTTTGTTTAACGCCGCATTCAGCAATATTCCAGCTATATGACGGCGGTCTGTTAATAATCGAGTTTGGACCATACAATCCAGTGATTGAAATCATGAGCATCGATCTCCGCAAATGGGATACGTTGACATGCATCAACCAAGTTAGCGAGCCTGACATCCGATCCCGTTAGTCGGACCTTACGACAAGCATGGGTTGCTGAAGATCAATTCTAACCCGGATCTTCTCTGGTAGCCAATTCGGTCGCCTCTTAAGACAGGCAATGGGGTCCTGGTGACACACTCCTCTCCGGGACCCCATGGGGAGATGGAGTAGGTGTAGGGGTGATACAAATCATGTCGACAATGTTTCAGACATAAGACCAAAAGGTTTATACTCAGGCGACGTCTCTTGACGTTTCCCCAATTAACATATTTAATTTCGAACCAAATATGTCCAACAAAATAAACGTTTAACTTTGTCAACAGACCGTGTCCTGGTAAGGTAAAGATCATAGCCATGGCGATCACTCATTCAGTTTCACTGTTAGGATGCAATGCTTCTAATCTTCCCTGATCAAAGCAGTTAACTTATGGTCAAGTCGTTTTATCCTAGCAGGCGTGAGGGCAAAACGCTAAGGTAAGACTAAGAGTCTGTCAGTTCACAAAATTAATGCATGTGGCCATGTTTTCGGGAACAAAGATTAACACAAGGGCCACAAGATCATTCCCTGGTTTTAGAGTCTGTTTCAGGAATGCACACAGTTATGACAGGAGCAAATGAAGCGCAGCAGCACAACTCCAGGGGAGACAGGGATATAATGGGGTATATATTCCTTCTGTAACTACCCGCTGGTCTTGTTGGTCCACAGCCAAGTTTCAGGGAAATCAGACCGAATTTTCTCAACTTCCTTCAGAGCAGCTGTTTGATGAGCCACTCCTCCGGGAAGCGGGCCAGCCATTCCCTTCTCGTAATACCGCACCGGATCTGACGTCACCCATAACCAATTATTAATGGGAACAAATGCCCGGCGTAAATAGATTATATGGTTTATTGCAATTAGGGGTTTTGTGATACTCAGTGAGGGGCATCGTGGTGAGATCTCGTCTATAATTGGGGTGCCTCGGAGACACATTTGTTCAGCTACTGCATAGAACATATTCGCTGGAAGGAGGAACCAAACGCTGGTTTTCTGGACATCCAGCTTGTGTGTGTGTGTGTGTGTGTGTGTGTGTGTGTGTGTGTGTGTGTGTGTGTCTTTTGTTAATGTTTTATTCGGAATCGAAACTTCGACATTTCTGTTATTGATGGATAAGTGATGTGGTGATTCCGTCGATTAGATGATAATTAACTTTTATTTGGCATTAAGATGAATAATGGTTTTGTATTGAATGTTGTTTTATATATGTATGTTATATGACATATTTTTATATATAAAATTTTTAACTTACAGTAGGGCTTGACGTATTTGTACACAAGAGCATCAGTCATCACAGCCACCCCGGAGTTCTGGAATAAAATATGTATATTTCTAGTCATGGTAATATTATTTTGTAGCTTCGAAACACGTAGAGAACGCACAGTATAGACTGAGCCTTTTAGTCATTGTAATATTTAACTGCCTCAATAACTGGAAAATGTGTGAGACAAGAAAATCCCGACTTCTATGTACAGCTACGTATAGAGTAAATGCATCAATATAACAATTCACTTTTTCTACCAGTACAGATAAACACAATTAAGAAATACCAATGGAAAACGTATCCATTGAAGTCAACTACGCTAGAACTCAGGCAATGTTTAAAGTCAATGTTCTCAAATGTGTTTATCAAACGCAGTCAACCTCGGAGTAATACTGATTATACTTAAAATAATATATATATTTTTGACGAGAGGAACGAAGAAAAGGAAAACAACATTCCCTTCCGATTTGTGTTCGCGTGAAAAGCGACAGCTAACAGCCTGTGGTGTTGCCTAACGGTTACATACCTGGAAGATCTGGTTGGCGTCACTTCCGCCATAGTAGGTGGGGAATCCCCACCAGCCTCCCCAGGGTAGGACCATCCTCTTCCGGCGAGCAACAGCACCCAGAGGAATGGGGCCTCCAAATCCTCCTCCACCTACACTCTTGATAGTGTCGTATGACTTCAGTTCACTGATAACCTGTGATCAAACGGATCATAAAAATAGTGCTTCAAGATGAAATGTGTCAGTGGTAAGACTGTAGAATTTGCTTTTTTTGTGCCGGGTAACACTTGGCCGCACAGTGAACAACCTGGGAATGTGTGAATCAACTCAAAGCCTAATTTCACCTTGACCTACCTTGTATTGTGCGAGTCATGCCGCCACCAGAAACACGTTGCTATTCCTTGTCCTTCTGAACTTGTGTACGTCATGGTGGCAATAACACCTGTGTTTCCTTGACCTACCCCAGAATATGTGTGTCATGTCGGCATCAGACATTGTAGGACCTTGACCTATCCCAGACCGTGTCATGTCGGCATCAGACATTGTAGGACCTAGACCTATCTCAGACAGTGTCGTGTCGTCACCAGACTTTATAGGACCTTGACCTACCTCAGACTGCGTGATGTCATTTCCGGACTTGAGGAGGAGGACGCTCTGGTCTACGGCCAGGAGGTTGACCAGGGACTGGGGGTCAGCGGTGACCTGTACATTGACACTGTCACCAGGCTGGGCAGTTGTCTTGTCCATAGAGATAGACACCTGGAGTCAAAAATACAACTGAGTGACGCTGAGTGGCCATAGTCAGGCTGAAAGTAATAGTAATGACATCTACAGCTCTTTTACACTGTAAGGGACCGATCATTTGATATTGGGGGAGGTGGGGGCTTGGATTTTATCGAAAAAAGCAAATATGCTTCAGTCCATGGATTAAATTGTCTGCCACAAAAGTGCCATTGTTGCAAGGTGTTTTTCCTAAAACCATATTCAGGCTCATAATTTTAATTAAAAAATATTTGGTTTTGCAGAAGTATGATCAGTCCCAAAGTAGCCTTATCCCGATAAACTCATAATATTCAACTTAATATCGGACTATTGCAGTGCTTACCTTGTTCTCAAACGCGCCATCCACATCGAAGCTGACGCTGTCGGTGACAATCTCTCCATCTTTCCTGACGTAATACACAATGATCCGGGCATTAGGCGCCATCTTGGATGTAACCGGGATGGAAAATGATGCGAGGTTTGCTTTGTCGATGTAGCCAGTGGCCACGATGGAACCACGAGACATTACCTGGAATGAATATCAGGTAAAGTTAGCATCTGGACAAGAGGAGCAGGCACGTATGACCAACATGAACGCTTCAATCTCACTTTCTGTTTTAATCTGAGATACTAAAGTATCTATTTGTGTTGTACACAACCTACCTGGTAGAACAGCTCACTGATGGATTCGGTAACCTTGACGTCGAAATTCACATTGCTTCCGGCCTGTAAAACACAAACAAATTCTGTCATTACGATTCATTCAAATATCATTTGACGTCTACTTTTGTTTTCGACGCAATCTGCCACGTTCCTACATTGCGCCCCCCGACACCTCTATAAAAGTACATACGTCTGTGAACTCACATAAAATATAAACGCCGACCAAATTAGTGGTGAGACTAACATGAATGGATCCCATGATTGCCGTAAAAGGTGACTATGCTTGTCGTAAGAGGCGATTAACGGGATCGGGTGGTCAGGTTCGCTGACTTGGTAGATGCATGTCATCGTATTCTAATTGCGTGGATCGTTGTTCGAAATATCAATCACTGGATTGTCAGGTCCAGACTGGATTATTTACAGTCCGCCGTCATATATATATTGCTGATCATGGCGTTAAGCAACAAACAAACAAAACATTCACAGAGACCTGAGATACTTACTGAAAGTTGTTGCGATTTCAGGAGCAGCTGGATGTAGTTGTCACTCGGTGAGTAGCTCTTCTCGATGGACTTGCTGGAGGAAACCTTGCCATACTTTACCTACAACCAAGACCATAGATATGTCTTTGTCGGACGAATTCTTGAAGGAGAACTATTACAAATTATATCGAAAGGAAAAGTGTGATTGAATACGCGGTTTTTGTATTTTTCATTTAGAATCATTTTCTGATGGACAACCAATATGAATCTTAATATCATTAAAATATTTTCTACTCCGATTTGATACCCCTCTGCCTTAAGATCTGACATAGGGGGTCACGTCGGGAGATCTTTCAAATAAACTTTCATTCTAGGTACTAACGAAGCATTAGGATCAGTATATGTGCTTTTTGTATCTCGAAAATGAGCGTAAAAGGGCAGTTCCAAATTGACAAAAAGAAGGTTGTTTTTGTTCTGAGGGTTTTCATTTGTTCCGAGCTTTTGGAAAATAGAGACAATGGGTGGTAAATCAATCTACCAAGCAGAAACTGCGACTGACAACATGTAGTCAAACGGTGACAAGATACGAATTAGAGCAGCCGTATCGATTTAGAAAGCTGAGTGATGAGATCCTTTGTTTGAATTGGGCGGTCAATAAAGGTGTATTTAATGTGATTTTCTGCTTTCTACGGCTTGGCATATCTTGATGGAAAGAATCGGGGCAAATATATGATTATAATGGCATTGAACTTGTCTGTAGCTGCATGTTACTGTAACCTGGGTGGCACAGGTGGCCCAGTCGTCTAAGGCGCCGCGATTCGCTGTGCAGAGTTGCGTTCCTTGGGCACGCCAGAAACCTATGATTGTGGGTTCGAATCCCAGTTCGCCCCGATTATGTTTCTAGGTTTGTCAGCACCATAGCCGTGCTCGTGGGTTTCACCGAAGTGGTAAACGTCTGAGACCTGCATCACTTCGGGCTTTCCTCCCAAATTAAGCTGACACGCCGCGATATAACTGGAATACTGTTAAACCCAACTCACTCTCTCACTCTCTCACTCTCACTCACTACCGTAACCTGACAACACGCTACTGCATCGCCTCTAGGTCTGGTTAACTACATACTGGTTGTACTTACTGTAAGACTGACGCTGCTAGCATTGGCGGGGATGTGGACTTCAATGGGCACAAGCCCTGTGTCTGGGACTGAGAAAGTTTGGTCCGGGATGGTGTAGGAAGTCGTTCTGGGGTAGTAGAAGGCGGGAGTGGTCGTCTGTTTGATCTGACTGGTCACTCTTGTGCTCACGGTCACCCGCTGGGTGCTTGTCTGGACTGGGCGACCGTCTTGTTGCTGGACTTGCAGCTGCGGAAACACAACGATGATGACCAATGAATGTAATTATGACTCAGTGTCAGCAACCCTTTCAGAACATAATATACGTCATAAGTGAAGAAGTGACATTTGGAAAGGGACATCTTACAAATCAACAGCAGCTTCCATAAAATCAGTTAATTTAAGAAAAGATCATTGTGTTAATCATTTAGTTTTTTTACGTGACAATTTAACAGTATAACTTCTTTAAGTGGCATTTAGAAGTTGGTGTGATGAAGTAAGACAAGTTCTATGGATGAACAACTTCTTTATTACAATTAGTTGGACGTTTCGGTGTTTCGGTGTTGTTTAGCACTATCCATCACTTGCTTGATAAAGGTGTTAGGATCTACACCGAAACGTCGCACTAATTGTAATAAAGAAGTTGTTCATCCATAGAACTAGTCTTACTTAATTTAACAGTAGTTTTGTTCTGTGAAGCGGACTGTTTCAACTCACATAGGCGATGTATTTGAGACCCGGCTTGAAAGTCTTGGGGTCCGACGGGGCGAAGGACAGTTTGGTTGCGTACTGGTAGATCTTGACCGTGCTGGATCCATTCAGTGTTATACCAGTCAAGCCCTCCGTCACATTGGCGGTCACCTCGATCTTTTGGTTATTCAGGCCATTAGGGAACACCTTCTTCATGTCAGCAAGGGATAGCGTCACCTTGCTCTCGCCATCAATCTGGAAAAATGCACCACATGTCGATATAGTAGCGATAAAAAGGGAAGGAAGCAAATAGCCAAGGATTCAACCCGAAACACTATTTGCTACAGTTGCAGCTACTACTTATGTCCCTACTACCCCTACAATACCTCTGTCATTTACTGTTCCAACTACATCAACGAATTAAAACACGTTGAAGACTCCTACGACCAATACGCATGTACTACTTCTACGACCAATACGCATGGACTACGACATGGACCAATACGCATGTATTACTACATGGACCAATACGCATGTACTATTACTAAGACCAATACGTATATACCAATCCTTAGACAATACGCATGCATTACTACAACGACCAATACGCATGTACCATTTCTAAAACCAATACGCATGTACTACTTCTACTACGACCAAAACCCTGTACCACTACAACGACCAATACGCATGCGCCATTCATGCGACCAACACGCATGTACTACTATTACGAGCAACACACATGTGCTACTATTACGAGCAACACACATGTGCTACTACTACGACCAATACGCATATGCTATTACTGCGACCAACACACATGTACTACTATTACGAGCAACACACATGTGCTACTATTACGAGCAACACACATGTGCTACTATTACAAGCAACACACATGTGCTACTACTACGACCAATACGCATGTACTACTACTACAACGCCCAACACGCATGTACTTCTTATACGATCAATACGCATATACTAGTACTACGACCAATATATGCATGTACTGCTACTACGACCACAGATCATGTACTACTACTACTACTACTACTACTACTACTACTACTACTACTACTACCACTACTACGGACAATACGCATGTACTACTACTACGACAATACGCATCTACTAGTACGACCAATACGCTTAAACTACTTCTGAATTTACTTCTTCGACGTGTACTGGGAGGAGAATGAATACTACTACGAATACGAATACTCCGGCAACAACGACCACTTCTAATTCTACTACAGCAACAACTACTATGAAGGCTACGACTTCATCTACGTGGACTACGTCTACAACTACGACGACTACCTCTATAACTGAGGCCGTTGCTACTACTGCTACTACTGCTACTGCAACTGTTCATATTATTGTTGCTATCACTACTAATTGCCACTACCATGTACATAAGTCGACCCGTGAAGATCTGGGGTACAATAGGTCTTCAGCAACCTATGCTTTCCCTAAAAGGCGACTATGCTTGTCGTAAGAAGCAACTAACGGGTTCGGGTAGTCAGGCTCGCTGACTTGGCTGATTCATGTCATCGTATCCCAATTGCTTGGATCGATGCTCATGATATCAGTCACTTGATTGTCTGGTCCAGACTCGATTACTTACAGACCGCCGTCATATAGATATATTGCTGAGTGTGGCGTTAAACAACAAACGAACAAACATAAGTAACTCACAGCCATTGTCTTCGTGATCATGGGCTCCGCTCCGTGGTAGTTCCAGGGCCGGTAGTATCGCTCCAACTTGGCCTCCAAGTTGATCGTTCCCTTTACCGGCTTGCCATAGGTGTACCTGGATAAGAAGCCATCAGTGATGAGATAACGAAACACTGGTCAACCTGTTTTACAGAGGGTAATTTTGACGGAAAACAGGCAGGGAAACATTCTCCCGAAAGTAACCCCATTTTGTGTTCCGGGGCAGAACATGTGCCTAGTTTGTGTTTAACGCCACACTCATCAATATTATATATCATGAGCTGCGACCTACACGGTTGGTTGGTTTGGTTGGTGTTTTACGCCGCACTCAGCAATATTCCAGCTATATGACGGCGGTCTGTAAATAATCGAGTCTGGACCAGACAATCCAGTGATTGATATCATGAGCATCGATCCACGCAATTGGGATCGATGACATGCTTCAACCAAGTCAGCGAGCCTGACCACCCGAGCGACCCACACCGTCGGGATATGTTAATTCGCCATCAACCAAGTTACCGAGCCTGACCATCTGATCCGATTACTTTTTAAGATCAGCATAGGTTGCTAGTGATAGATTTTGACTCGGAATCCTCCGTTTCTCAATTTATTCGCCTCTTACGACTAGAAATGGGGTGATGGGCACTTATTCTATTTCGGAGATAAAAACAATTTCGTGTTAGCCGATGTCGCGGACCTTGAAGTCGTTATGTCATGAGAACATCGCTGTATACAAAAACAGCTAAACCTCAACTCTTACCAAGATCACCTGACGTCAGTTGCATGTGAAATAAGTTCACTTGGAATACTTGTAACCCTCCAACAGTACAATGGAAAGACACTCTTGACTTACTTGGCTTTGACTGTGGCAGTGATGTGGTCGTCAGACACAAGTCCATAGCTTGGTAGCTCTACTGTTACCTCGAATTTGGGCAAAACTGAAAGAACGAAAACCGTTCAGTGATTATCATGTACAATGACAGATACATTATGAGTGAGTTGTAGTCAGCTATGTTTCAGCTTCATCTTCGAATCCCGGTTCACCCCGATTATGTTTCTAGGTTTGTCAGCACAATACTCGTGCTCGTCGGTTTCACCGAGGTGGTAAACGTCTGAGGCCTGCGTCACTTCGGGCTTTCCTCCCACATTAAGCTGACACGCCATGATGTAACTGGAATACTGTTAAAAGCGGCATTAAACTCAACTCACTCACCCAAGCTTCATCAGGGGCTTGAACATGATCGAATATGGACAGGACAAACAGGTTACTGAAAGCATGAATTACGATCCACACAATCGTGGAACAATGACACAAAACTCGCCAAGACACTGTGCCCGATGAACGACGCTCAACTTTAGTCAGATTGTGATTAATTGCAAACATGCCCTTCTAATCTGATGAGTCAGTCGGGTGTCCTCGTAGTTCTGAAGCGTCCGTACGTAACGCTCGCCATCCGCGTTCAAGTAACCTCTTGAGTTTACCGTGAAACAGCTGAATATTGTTAACACGTTGTAAACCAAAACTCGTAACCTCATTCACTAAATCAGTCGGAGAAATGTTCTTGTATAAATCTTACCATATTCAGCGATGGTGAACACCTTCTCTTCTGTCACAGCCTGCAAGACATACAGATTCACAATTATCACCAAGTTACGGATTTTTCAATATAGATGTAATAAATACATTATTAATGACATATGAACGATGAATGTATGTAGGCACGTTCAGTTCTTTGGAGGTGACGTGACATAGGGTTTGAGGTCACGTCCAAGAACGGTGTGTGTGTGTGTGTGTGTCCGGACTGATGTCCATTTTATAGTTCTAGCCCACTGAGATACCATGCCACAGACTAACATGCATACCCCCTTCAGACACAGAAAAATGACTCCGAGCCGACCAGTCATTGTTTTAGTGCCAGGCAGGGTAACAACAAGTACCATCTTTTAAGGTCTTTTTGGTATGGCGCGGCCGGGGATCGAACCCCGGACCTTCCGCACTCCGGGTGGACGCTCTACCACTACACCACGGAGGCGACCTCAGTTCTTAGTCAGAGATAATGGGGTAAACTACTTACACCGGCTGTGACCTTGATCTTCCAGTCACCGAGTACAGGTTGGCTGGAGGTGGGGAGGTAGTTTGTGTTGACGCCGCTAGCGTCCTTCACTGCCACCCACTGCTTGATTTTGTTTGAGTTGGGATCCTGTAAACATTGAAACACATGGTGTATTTACACATGACGACGATGCAGAGACTCTGGGATATTATCACAAATTAAAATATATTGTCTACATAATTATTTGTAAATATTATTTCGAATTTTTTTTAATGTATGTCCAACATAGAATTGTGTATTGGCACATTGTCAACAATTAATGAATTGCTGTTTGCTTAATTTTAAAAGAAATAATTTGTAAAGCCGTGAGATGTTACTCACGAAGATGTCGATGTTCATGTCGCCGGTGTACAGTTTCATGTCGGGGAACATGGCAAAGGCCCGGAAATGGACTGAAATTAACGAATGCAATAATTTTAGATCCACATCGCAAAGTAATTTGGCGTCATATATGAAGAGGAAATTACCAACCAGAACCACTGTTTTCTACTCGCACCATACCCGTAAGGGTCGGTCGGGTAGCCTAGTGGTTAAAGCGTTCGCTCGTCACGCGGAAGACCCGAGTTCGATTCCCGACATGGGTACAATGTGTGAAGCCCATTTCTGGTGTCCCCCGCCGTGATATTGCTGGAATATTGCTAAAAGCGGCGTGAAACCAAACTCACTCATTCACCCATACTCGTGCTTTTTTGTTTCAATGACCTGAAACGCTGTTTATTTCTTGGCCGCGAAACCTCTGAAATACTGTTCACAATGATGGAAACCCCAAACACATTAAACCCCTAAATACCAATTCATTAATGTGCGTATGTCAACTAATGCACTCACTAGCATGATATATAAATATCATTAATCAATTGAGGTCTTACTAAACAGCGTCCGGGGAACAATCAGCAACATTTGCTGGGTGGCAACCGTTGTTGTTGTAAAGGCGTTTCTTGGGAGCAGTGCAAGTCGTGGCACCACCCTAAGTGCGAGGGGCAGTCAGATGGGGAGTTGGATATATACATAGGCACCTTCGACAGAAGGCTGACGCTTCATGATCAGCAGTTATAGGTCTTATTCATCAGAAAACATTTGGACCCTCCGGACTGATGAATAGCAATGGCTCCTACCAATTCCAACTGAATCAAATGGGACTAGAAGACCCTGTGTTCCACAACTGTTCCTGATTTCGATTCTTACCATTTTAACAGGTCATGTCAGAACGACGTTTCGCGAACTTTGACCGATCAATTAAATAACCAGTTAACAAGATATCGACAGCACGGGTTTGAAACTGGCGTCTTCCATACTACGCTACAAAAAATACAAGGACAAAATTCTGGATTTACAATTTGAAGACTGGCTGTAAGAACAGGTCATTCCACATTCTGGAAGTACTTCACTCAAGCTATGCAAGTCTCTTTTGTTTCAAATGTTTATCCCACTGAAGCAAGAGACAGACGATGATATGGAGGGAATCAGTCGTACATCCCGTCACTTCATCGGAATACTCCGTGTTCACCTTTCCGAAGTTGCATGATTAGAAAAAGTATTCCGATCACTTTCCAAATCTGTTAAGCGGCGCTTTGATTGGTCGTTCTGGCGTGACCGGTAATGTGATGCTTTGTTTGTTTGTTTGTTTAACGCCGCACTCAGCTATATTCCAGCTATATGACGGCGTTCTGTATATAATCGAGTCCGGACCAGACACTCCTGTGATTGCGTAATGGGATGTCTTCAGATCATTGTTTAGCGGTAGCGAAAACCAAGATGTGATTTTAATGAGCTTTTTAAATTACTCCCGGACGTCTTATTAAACCCCGCGGACGCTCCGGGGCGATCTCGGACGCTCCCTGACTTTTAAACAGTAGGCCCCGTAAATTATCTCTTTCGTCGACTGACCTGTTTGACCAGGCTTGTACATGGCCTTGTCCGTCTGGATGAAGATGGACATGCTCTTGTGGTTGTAGGTCAGCGTTGTCTCGTTACTGAAGGTCAAACCACCACTTCCTGTCACCTTCAGCTTGTAGCTTCCGCTTTTGAGATCTTTGGGAACCTGATCATGCAAGGAGTCAAATGTGATCCTAATTCAAAAAGTGTTTCTACAGTGAATATAGATATCCACATCAAATAATGCATTACCAAACCAAACAATAATAGTGATAGAGGTAGACACGAGCAAATGAACCAGATAAGACAGTGTTATTTAACGTCACAACCAGCAACATGATGGCCTGTACAAAATCTTTGCTTTTTTCTTGTTTAACGCCACACTCAGCAATATTCCAGCCCCATGACGGCGGTCTGTAAATAATCAAGTCTGGACCAGACAATCCAATAACTGACATTATGAGCATCGAGCAATTGGGATACGATGAGATGCATCAACCAAGTCAGCGAGCCTGACCACCCGATCCCGTTAGTCACCTCTTACGACAAGCATGGTCGCTTTTTACGGCAAGCATGGGTTGCTGAAGTCCTATTCAAACCCGGATCCTATTCAAACATCAGTGAGTGAGTGAGTGGGTGGGTGAGCATGGTTTTACGCCGCTTTTAGCAATATTCCAGCAATATCACAGCGGGGGACACCAGAAATGGGCTTCACACATTGTACCCATGTCGGGAATCGAACCCGGGTCTTCCGCGTGACGAGCGAACGCTCTAACCACTAGGCTACCCGACCGCCCCTGATCCACATCAAAAAGTGGTCCAACTAACCAGCTGAGATCCACGCCGTCAGGGTACGATGACACACACTCACCTAATTCTCATATTGTAGCTATAACTACCCGATCCTCAGATCTACTTTATCCAGGAGCCTACACATAATATAGACTTTGGGGAGATTTGTTTATCATATAATGGGTAGGTTTCTCGACAGGATAAAGCCAACCGATAAAAACAATATCCGTTGGGGTCATATGCGATTAGAGATGCAAATATCAAAGGTTAAGTAGGACTACTTTCACTGTTTATAAACAAACATGGCGTCGCCCTCGTCATTCGGCGATCGAGTCAGAATTAACCATCGGGAATTTGGATAAACTACAGGGATAATTGCTATCATTATAAAAAAACAGACTAATATACTGAAAATCAGTGTCCTACTGTGACGTAGCTAAGGCATTTTATAAGTTTTGCAACTTTGGAGATATAAATTTCGAAACAATTTTGCGAGGGTACGAGGCCTAGCCAAGCGGGATCAGTAGCCATATCTGTGCTTGTAGACCTCTGCGGCTTGAAACCTTCTCCACAAATTAAATAGTTGGATTTGGCCGAAATATATTTGAATTGTTACCTTGTTTCGTTTTGTCGCTGTGTGTATATCTGACTACACTTCTTAACGTTATGACAGGACAGACCGACTGTCAACAACGTTTGGCCGTGGCCGTGACGTCTCATAGACTAGGGTTCGAGTAGCTTCCCTTTGACAAAGGGCAGTTACCCTAGCGGACAGACCGATTGATTGCCGCGAAAGGCAATTAAAGACAACTGTTGTTTTGCGTATATGCTGCTTCGCCACTGTATAAGAAACAGATTTCAGTTGAAACTATATTGGCTACAGTCACTGTCCGACTGACACATCACTTACCCTGTGACGTAATAAATATAAATGCGCGCATTCCAGGAAAACTCGCAATGTTTGGGTAATGTTTGTGAGAGAGGGAAAGCGATTTTAAAGCACAGAATTAAAGAATGACATTATATGATAAAGAGGTTATCACGCTTGTGTGTTTTGGGGATGGTAAATATCCTGTATTAGGAATAAACACTATGTATTTAACTCGCCAAGGCTCGCTAAATACAATGTTTATTCCTAATGCAAGATATTGACCAACCCCAAACACACTCGCGTTATAACCTCTTTTGGTGATGAATAACTCGATCCGTATATTAATATAAAAATAGAATAAATAAAATGGTTCTAATTACCTTGATGGTTATACTTTGGGGCTGACCTGTAAATAAAATAAAACATTGATTTTCAAAAAACAATGTATATAGCTACATAGGTTATAGGATACTCGGATACTATTGGTTTGTTAACAAATAGCGATAATAATGGTCATTCTGAATGGTTACCTACCTTGCACAAGAACTCCGCTTGCAGAAGCGATGGATTGCGTCCCCTTAACGAGCGCGGCCTTGACATTGACGTTAGCGGTGGCTTTGAGGATGTTGGCACTGACCTCAAAATCCATGCCCGGTCTGACGGATGTCGGGGAGAGCACGACATAGGAACTGGAACCAAAATGCCATTTCTATATTTGATCTATACCTGGTCGACATATGCATGAACTACATCATATTGAGAATATTCTCCTATATCGAGGCGTGAGTTTAACGTCGCATATATTGAGTGAGGGAGTTGGGTTTAACGTCGCTTTTAACGCTATCAGTAAGGAAGGTGTGTTTACGCAACTTTGGACAGTATGTCAGTAAATTCACGTTGTGTAAGCTTCGTGTAAAAGGAGTGAGTGAGTATTGTTTGACGCCACTTTTAGCAATATTCCAGCAATATCACGGCGGGGGACACCGGAAATGGGCTTCACACATTGTACACATGTCGGGAATCGAACCCGGGTCTTCGGCGTGACGAGCGAACGCTTTTACCACTAGGCTACCCGACCGCCCCTCGTGTGAAGGAAAGCCCCAGTGATGCAGGTCTTACACGTTTACCACTTAAAGTGCTACCAATCCTTGATACATAGCCATGACGAATCTAGGATTCGAACCCAAGCTTCTGACACACTTAAGGACGCAATTCTGTACAGCATGCCGTAGACTCCTGGGCCACCCGTGCCTCCGACACGTATATTAATGATATGATGATAACGACATAATGACACAGGACTGTCCACCATTGAATATGCAAAATACGGCTGCTAAACACGCGATCACAATACGAAAGGGTGCACGGGTGGCAGAGTTGCGCCCCTTGGGAACGCCAGAAACCTATGATCGTGGTAAACGTCCAAAATCTGCATCATTTCGGGCTTTCCTGCCACATTATGCCGACACGCTGTGATATAACTGGAATACTGTTCAAAGCGTCGTTAAACCCAACTCACTCACTCACTCACTCAAAGCGGCGTTACACCAAACGCACTCCAATGTACCGTAAGTGTGCACGGTAAACCTGACCTGGAGGACCGGCTATCAATGTATCTGTAATTCCATAATCTGAAACGTCAATTAAGATTGTCGTGCGGTACACACAAAACAAAGAGATTTACAGAGTTGACATGGCCTTACTTAACTCATCATCAAGTCGAGAGACATATCTTTCCATTAATCTTGAAGGTTTTCATCTGACACGCCGTGATACAACTGGTAAACTGTTCAAAGAGGCGTTAAACCAAACTCACTCACAATACAAAATGTAGGGCACGTTGCTGCGACCCCTGACACTGATACAAGTATGGGTTGCTGAAAACCTATTCTACCCCAGAATCTTCACGGGTCAAAATATCTGTATCAATAAATATGCCTGTATAAGCTGCATTGGCAGATTTACGGCTTCACTGCATTATTTTGAAAATTGAGCTCCACCTTACATTTGTCGATGTGGCAACACAAGGCGATACCGTGCGTTTCCCAACTGCAATGTTATTAAGCATTGCACCATGTCCGTATGTGAAGTGAGTGGCTACGTTTAAGCGCCACCTTTGACAGCATTCCAGCACGACGGAGTACACCAAAAATGAATTTTCCCCATTTTTCCCATGTTGGTCATCGAATCAAGGCCTACTGCGCGAGTCGCGAAGGCTTTTAACACCAGGCAAGGCTACCACCCCCTGTCTACTGTCTATCAATTGACTGAGTGAGTGTGGTTTTACGCCGCATTGGGCAATATTCCAGCAATATCACTGTGGGGAAATGGACACATTCTACCCATGTGGAGAATCGGACCCAGGTGCGGCGTGACGAGCGAACGCTTTAACTTACCAGGCTAGTCAGCCACTCCTGTGTCTATCACGGTAACAGAGACACATACCCTACACCACTGTTTCCTACTTGTCGTGCGCCCGTGAAGATCCGGGGTAAAATAGGTCTTCAGCAACCCATGCTTACCGTAAAAGACGACTATGCTTGTCGTAAGAGGCGGCTAACAAGATAGGGTGGTCAGGCCGCTGACTTGGTTGATGCATATCATCGCATCCCAATTGCGTGGATAGATGCTCATGATGTCGATCACTGGATTGTGTGGTCCAGACTCGATTATTTACACACCACCGAAACATAGTTGGAATACTGCTGAGTGCGGCGTTACACAGCAAACAAACAAACTTCTTATCGTGGTTTGCGGATGTGTTACAGTATTTAGAAGCGTGTTGCTATAGTAGTCGAAACAAAGAGAAAAATAAAATTGCCAAAAATATATTGTCTTTAGCGACCTTTAACAGTAAACAGCCGAGGCGTAGGGTGACAAATGTAATGAAAGACTGTCTAAGTGACTCGTGGCACAAGCGACAGTTATTTACACACATCGACGCAGCAATGTCTAGTACTTCGGGGTAAAGCGAGTTATCTAAATGTTTGTGGACGTACTGAGACCTGTGAGAGGACGAAACAAAGAAATGTCTTTAAGTAAAACCTGCCCGCTAAATCTCGCATCAGTACATTATACATGAGGCTAGCTCATTGCGTGTCAAGGTTCAAACGTGAGTGTAGGTTAACCAGTCTGTTGTCATGGTTATCGGCAAGGCCGCGGCCAGTTTGAAACAGTAGCCTTGGTCAATCCGTAAATTTTGTTAAATGTTTGTTGACACCAAAATAAGTCATATATAGTTAAGAATGTCCACTGCGTTTGCATTAAACGAAACAACTCAAATATTTCAAAAAACCAAGCCAGGGTATTCTCAAAGGCCACCGGGGACTGTGTAGCCAATAATATAAATGTCAAAATGTCATGCGTCTATTCTTCTGGAGTATTGCGACACATCACGTGTAAACACATCAAAATGCTTCTACAGTAATCCTCGCAAACTCAAATAGTTTATTTGCTTGTAATATCCGTAAAGGGTGTGATTGGTCCGGGCGCATCCGTGTTGAATCATCACGGCGAATAAGCGCTGCGGTGATAGCGATAATGGCAGACTTAATACACATGGAATTTGTGTAAAACAATATTTACTCGCTGAATACACAAACCTTGCCGATTCGTTACAGGGTGATTAAATGTTTACACTGATGGACATGTAACCAGGGTAACATTTATCAGGTGATTAATTAAATTCCTAGTCTCGTGGTTAAAGCGATCCATCGTCATATTGGAAGCCGGGCTTATTTCGTCACAATGGTACGATGTGATTTGTTTGTTTGTTTGTTGTTTAACGCCGCACTCAGCAAAATTCCAGCTATATGACGGCGGTCTGTAAATAATCGAGTCTGGACCAGACAATCCAGTGATTGGCATCATGAGCATCGATCCACGCCATTGGGATATGATGATATGCACCAACCAAGGCAGCGAGCCTGACCACCCGATCCCGTTGGTCGCCTCTTACGGCAAGCATGGGTTGCTGAAGACCTATTCTACCCCGGATCTTATCGAGTTTGGGTACAATGTGATAAGTCCACTTAAGTATGGCGTTCATCCATTCTCATCCACTCACCTCGACTTAAACAACCTTTAAACAAGTTATGTTTAAGCCGAAATTGAAACATCCATTTAGTGTAAAATTCTCGAACTTTGGTTGCAAAAATATGCTATGGTCTTTGGGATCAGTGTTCTGATAGAGCTCAGAAAAGTCAACGCTTGTGTCCTGCGCGGTGGTTTCGTTTTATGTTTTATGTTTTATGTTTTATTTTTGGTAAAATGACCAGCAGTTGTAATGAGGAACAGGTGAATCTTTGTTAAAAGTATTTTTTTGAAATTCGACACCCGTTGCCTGGGTCCAAGTCGCATTACTATTGCCACCGCTTTATAGCAGAGTTTAAGGAATAAGGCACCAAGATACACGAGATCATATCTAGGTACAGTGGGGCTATGTTAACTCGAAGACTCGGTGACAATCGAACATAATATTCTACATGTCGATTTCGAGACAAGCGAAGTGCCAATATTGGACAATAGTTCTGTTGAGACTCTGATGGAACCACTAGTCACTTCGGTTAAACGATATTTCGATATAGTGGAGTTCAATTTAACGAGGTTTTATTGTTATGTTTGTGTATTGATAAACTAAAGCCTATTTGTGAAATAAAATGTATACTTACTCTTTGGCGAACGTCGCCCCCAGGAGGACAACTAGGACGAAGAACTTCAGCATCGTGGCTATCTGGAAAACAAGAAGAGAAGTGAACTTTGGTTTGAACGCAGATATGTACCTCACATTCATTTACGTTGTTTGAAAGATTACCGTGTGCCGACTGACATTTGATAACAATACACCGGATATCTGAACACCATCAGGAAATTACGACAATACTGCAAACGATTGTTTTTTTTATTAAATTGAAAGACATCGTGTAACTTGATTTTACATCTCGATATTATCAATGTCCTTACTGACAGAAGTCATTACCTAATCTCGTTAAGACGGTGATTAAATACAAATAGTTCCCTTCAACCTGGTGTGTTATGTCCGAGAAATGCAATAAATGAAATAGTGAATTTGCTGACAGCTCTATTTCACGAGTCAATTGCACTTTTATAATACTAAGGCATTGAGTTGACAACTATCCATGCACAGCTATATATATGAAAACGCCAAATCAATGAAACATTTAATGTCCGACAAACGGAATAAAAGAGCTGTCAAAATCTAGATGGCTCAATTTTGAGAGTGGATTTCAATTCTGTAATGGCACACGTTTTCATTAAATAAGCATTAATATAGAGCGAAATTAGAACGCCTCGCCGCTGAACTTTTCTCAGAAATCGATTTTCAGTTAAATATAGATTTACATTATACTTATATGAGAATAAAAACTCAGAACATCCTGAAAGTTTTTCTCAATCACCAAATCGTAATCATATACATGCTGGTCCAGGGAATGGAATTTTTTTGTGAAACAATCGTCTGCAAAAGTGCGTATACAGTACACGGTACTTTCAGGATATCAAATGAAAAGGCAAGGTCGTGGAGAAAGTGTACGGGGATCCCACACGACCGTTGTACCCAAAGTTCCTCACCTTAACAAAGTCAGCCCCTCAGCTCATCTGGGCCAAAAGCGGGTGGTCTTATATAGCGTCCCCACGGGGAGATAAAGCAGGTGACCGACCATATCTCAAGTGTTTTTAAATATGTTCCTTTTAGCTGACAGCGTACACACACCACGAGATTACACGTGTGACACTCAACTCTACCCGCCGAGTTGATTCCCTCCACCAGGGCTGATCACATTCAGCTGCCTTTGAATATTTTTGGTACATGGATACACTAATGTATTACAAAGCAATGCACTTATGTTTCTGTACGTATGGCAAATAAAAGACAGGTTTTAGCTATTCACTTACAGCAGACTACGGTTAAAACGAACACGCTTATAACGAACTGACTGATATACCGAACTTACTTTTTGGTCCCGACTATTTGCTGTAGTTATGCTGTATATATGCTTATAACGAACTACGTTTATAACGAACTAAAATTAGTAGTCCCTTTGAGTTCGTTCTAACCGTAGTTTACTGTAGTTAATAATGAACCTGTATTGTAGGATTCTGTATCCTGGCCTTGACCTTGTTTTCCCTAAGGTGTAACTTTTCTGACTTATTTCAGATTTCATTATTTCTAAAACATAAATTGAAATCAATATGTATAAGAAATTATTTTGCACCAAACCCTGTTAATATTATTGGCAGATTTCCTTATGAATCGAGTCTGATTATATTCTACATCGACTGACTTACAACCTTATTTTGAGTATCCACACTAGCGACTAATGAAAACATGATCACATTCTTCAGCACTGATTGTTGTTGTGCTGTGAGGCGACAAATTCCATCAATAATGTTGCTAAGTGGCTGAAATATTGTCGAATTAAAGTTGAATTTTATTATTCATTCCCACTCCTCAGTCAGTGAGTTGGGTTGAACAGTATTTCGTTTGGAACATGTTTTCGTATGGAACAGTATTTCAGTTATATCATGGTGTGTCAGCTTAATGAGGGTGAAAGTGACCCAGGTCCAGACGTTTGCCACGTTTGCGAAACTCACGAGCCTGGGTATGGTGCCGAATTACAACAAATACTCACTATTATTAAAAACATCGTCGATTTCCATGGACACTTTGTTTGTTGTTTAACGACAACCCCGGCAGTATTCCCGCTATATGAACACGGTTTGTAAATAATCGAGTCTGGACCAGACAATCCAGTGATTAATATCATGAACATCGATCCACGCAATTGGGATACGATGACATGCATCAACCAAGTCAGCGAGCCTGACCACCCGATCCCGTTAGTCGTCTGTTGCGACAGACATAGTCGCCACCTACGGCAAGGATGGGTTGCTGAAGACCTATTCTACCCCGGAATCTTCACGGGTCTCATTACAATAACTTGTAGTCTCATCACGAGGGGAATGCGGTTTGATGTCAGTACGTTTTGTGTGGCCGAGTGAACTGAGTCGACAGCGGAGGAGTACGTCAGTGAGTACGTCAAACCGTATTCCCCAAGTATAAGCCTACAACGATAGCCATAAGGAAGAGAATATATGGATGTCATCTTTTTTATTATGAGGAACACAACGTTTTGTTATCTTATCAATTTTGTTGTCCTTACATGTACATCTATATGCTCTCTGCCATTCACCTGATGAAGGAGTAAGCATACACTCCGAAACGTTGTGTTCCTCATAATAAAGAAGTTCTCATCCATATATTCTCTTCCTTATGTGAATCACTTTTAAATGCCTATCAAAGACTTGAAACGATAGCCATGTCTATCATTTAACACAATTTATTAAACAAACGGAGATTGAGATCGAAACGTTTGTTTGTCGCCATATTACAAGGTGACATTGTGTAGGCTCTATGCATCACGTACATCTAAAGTCAATGTTAATATACATAACGCGACGCCGTGTCGCTGTAAGGAGCTCGATTTGCAAAGATTACAAAGATCGGCAAACTGTTTTCCAGTTGTTCATCGCTGTAGCGGGGTCCATGGAAATGTAACAAAATGGTAGTGTTCACTGACCAATTAACTTAAAGTATCTTACATGTGACGTAACATGGTAACATAATTCTATATACATACCGGTCGTCACTTAATGCTCTTGCCGTGATATAACAATGTACGCATATATTGCCCGTGTTATAATAAATGAAGGCTGATACACGTGTACTTGTCTGAATCACAAACGTGTCTGTTTCCACAGATATATGACTGTTCGCGTTATCAGATACAGGAGATTGTGGCGGTACACGTCCACATCGTCAACACATTATCAAGGCCAAGTAACGACAACATTGACATAAGGAAAGACCCCGTATCAATGAAAAGATACGTCTCTTGACTTGATGACGAGTTAAGTAAGGCCATGTCTACTCGGTAGATCTCTTTGTTTATTATATACAACACGATTTAAAACAGACAATCTTGATTGACGTATCACAGCATCAGTACCGAAACACTGATAGCCAGTCATCCTGGTCAGGTTTACCGTGCACTCTTATGGTACGTCGGAGTGCGTTTGGTGTAACACCGCTTTGAGTAAGTGAGTGAGTGAGTGTGTTGGGTTTAACGCCGCTTTGAACAGTATTCCAGTTATATCACAGCATGTCAGCTTACCGTGGGAGGAAAGCCCGAAATAATGCAGGCGTTAGACGTTTACCACGATCATAGGTTTCTGAGGTTCCCAAGGGGCGCAACTCTGCCACCTGTGCCCCTTTTGTATTTTGACCACGCGTGTAACCGACGAGCACGGGTGTGCTGCTGACAAACACAGAAACATAATCAAGGCCTACCGGGATTTGAACCCATGATAAACTGGTTATAGGTTTCTTCGACGCTAGTGGACGCAACTCGGCAAATATCGACGCCAACCGTTCCCTCAGTACGCAGGAAAACAAGCACGTTTGCTTTGCCACTCAGACAAGTTACATTTTAACAGTTGTAATCTATACAATCGAAACTTATTGAACATATTTCGTTCTTACCATATACTTGCTAATTATCAATCGAAGTTTATGAATCAATATCATTTCGCATCATTTTTTATAATACATATACTTCTCGTCTTCATTGCATGCTGGTAGACTTCTCCGAAATGGATTTTGAGCATATATATATAATGAGGAAAAGAAATCAGGGAACACTACTTCATCGCAGTGTTCCTATACGTATTCTCAGATTTTCACCCACAGTGCAAAACACAGCTTGCGGAGGAATATGAAGATGAATAAAGGAGTGAGTGAGTATGGCTTAACGCAATTCATTCCAGCAATATCACGGCGGGGGGCACCAGAAAATGGGCTTCACCCATTGTACCCATGAAGGGAATCGAACGTCTTCGGCGTGACGAGCGAACAGTTAAGCCACCAGGCAACCCATCGCCCTAGGTATTATAAGAATTTGTGTGGGGTGGAGTGGCGTTTAAAGCGCATACAAAGTAAGACCTTCATGCGTTTAAGTCTGTGGTATTCGTAAATGCAGCGTTTATCAACTGCATGGATTTAAATACATCATTGGTATGGCATTGATATTCAAATTGCATTCATCCGGTTTATTTTTTGCACGTGCATTATATATGAAAACGGGTTTATACTGTACAAAACTGATATCTCAGGGTCGTTACAACCAAAATATCTGCAATCGAAGCAAATGTATCGGGTAACTTTCCAGACTGCCCAGATCCCCCTGGACTTTGTCCCAGCTGATCGTGGGGACGCGTGATGTACGGGCCGACTACCCAAACAACTTGACGGAAAGTACAGATAAAGAATTTACGGCAAATAAAATCAACACACATTGACAAGTCATCTAACATCAAACACATTGAATTATATATAATGTCATATTTTACCAAGTCCAAATCTGTTATTTGGCCGCTGTGGTTTGTGAAAAGAATGGTATTACAGAAAAAAACAACTTAAGCAATATCACGACCTAACACGTGAACCTGCGGATCTGCATTATCCGGGCAGTCCATAACAACAGCAGGGGTGGAAGGTTCGCTCGTGGACCAGTCGGTTGTGACGAACACACGCAGAACATGAACTCCACGTGCACCGCTTCACGTGAAAGGCCTACTGTCCCAAACCGCAGTGTTCATACGGACTCGGCCTATGTCTTTTAGGAGTACATATTAATCACCGAAACAAATGTTCTG